TACATGTGCCTTGCGTTACATTATTTTTATATACATACATAGTCAGGCACGCCTGCTTCACATATTACTTAATTTTACCTACACTGCTTAACTTAGGTTACATATACTTGCAGTTGCATATAGATACATGCAGATACATTCTGATTAATTTTTTAGATACAAATATTTACAAACATAATAGTCTTACAGGTTACTTACATTACATGTTATTTGGGTACTTATTGCATAATTTTCCAGTACATGAAATAGACATTCCAATACATACATTGCTTTGCGTTAGACATCCTATATCCCTTATTCATAATACAAAACATATATGTTACCCATGCATTTTTATTAGACATTTCTGCATTTATATTGCATTACTTTAAATTGCATAACTTACTTATACATAGCTTACTGATACACAAAAATATTTACATATATTACACTCCCTTACATTACTTTGCTTACAGATATATGCACTTTCATACATTCGTTATGCCTACATTATATATCGGTTCATTATATATGGTCTTACGGTATAATTTGCCGAAATTTATTTACACAGTACATGCACATTGTTAAATGCAACTGACTTTCCAGGTATGAATACAGGCAGTCTTTATACTGTGAGTTTCTAGTCTACATTAGTTTTCTTACAATTCACTTGAATGACAGTTTTCTTACATTGCAATACATGTCCTTTTCAAATGCTTAAGTTGTTTTTACATGCTGGGTTGTTCTATGGCTGACACAAGTCTGTATCTAAGTCGGACAGTCTGTCCATCAACTGTACCAGCTTTTTAATAAAGTGCCGCTGTTTTATCATATATTTACAGAACGGCTGGCGATTTGTTTCAGGGAGATTGATATGCAGTCCTTCTGTTAATGGGCATGACGTTAGATAGTGCTCTGGTGAGCCTGAGTCGCCGCATGCACATTGACTTGTGTGACTTATGCCACGCTTGAAGAAATATTCCGGGTAGGGCCCATGCCCGGAAATGAACCTTACCAACTGTGCGTTCGCTACATTTCGGCTAGTGTCCACATAGCCGATGAAGTAGTGGGTCCTTCTCCCTGTGGTGCTTTGGTCCCATTCGTTCTGCCACATGCCAGTAGCCCTTAGGCGTAGTGTCTTCTTTAAATACGAATGCGGCCATGGGATGATAATTGGTGCATCAGGCAGGTCAGTTGTTGCCTCTTTGGCGAGTTGGTCGGCAAGTTCATTGCCATAGTGGCCAACATGAGCCTTTATCCACTCTAATTTTGTGCGGTACTGGGGGTTACTTCTAAGATCTCTCTGGATTCCCTGTATAATCTCCGAGGGATGATCTGCATTCCAAATGGCATATAACGATGATAAGCTGTCCGTTTTAATGGTGACATGGCTATGCTGGTGCGAGTGCAGGTAGCGAATCGCTTGTGAAATTGCCACTGCTTCGCTTTGAAAGACACTGTTATGTTTGTCTTAACTGTCCCTTCCATTTCTCGATTGCGTTGTTGTCTGTTTCGTGGCGACATAGGCGCATCCCACTCTTTCGTCCAATCTAGACCCGTCTGTATAGATGGTCATTTTCCTTGAGTGATGAGTTGCAGTGGGATTAATTGAGATAAGTATCCCTTTGCCTTTCTCTGCCGGGTGGACGTCAAGAGGGCAGAAGTTTGTTTCGTACTCATCCGGGTAGTATGTTTCATCATCAAAAGTAACTGCCTTCTTAAGTTGCAAAATGTGTTGGCGTGCTGCCTCCTCCTCAACCCGGATGTGCAGGGTAAGGAGACCAGCAAGTACGTTAATGGCATCGGTGGAGGTGGTGCGGTAGGCCCGTGTGATTCCCAATGCGAATGGTCGTTGTATGCTGTTAAGATGTCTGACCTTCCTTCCTTGCATTGGGTAGGCCCATACTGCGGCAGCATGCGTCACTATCTTCTCAATGACTGTCGTGTACAATACCTTTTGAATATGGGGGTTAAGCCCCCATTTGTGACCATAAAAGAGTTTCATTTGTTTGGCTATGGCTGCCGTCCGGAGTTTGAGATCCTGCACGTGAGGGATCCAGGTCATCTTATGATCAAAAGTGACCCCTAAATATCTTAGCTGGTCCACTATCTGCAGACGTTGGTTGTTAATCTTTATGGTGGGGCGTCTTACTAAGGATCCTCCTTTTTTCGGAATTAAAAGGACTTTTGACTTATGTTCTGCAATTGTGAGTTTAAGTTTGGTACACTGGTCATGAAAGATCGCGCAAACTTCATTGCAATTTTTCTGTAATTTTTCTCGCGTGGTACACTTTACGATAAGCGCGGCGTCATCCGCGTATGCAATGATTTTAGTGTGCGCCGGCCACGTCGCTGTCAGTACTTCATTGAACGTTAAGTTTCATAAATGCGGCCCGGCGCACGATCCTTGCGGACATCCTCTAGTTTGCACCTTTTCGATAATGCCTGCATTATGCACCGCTAATAGCTTCCGATCCTGCAGGTAGTTGCTTATTATACTATATATGTTACTTGGGCAATTGGCCCTTCGTAATGCCTGCTTGATAGCCGGCCACCACAGCGTATCGAAAGCATTCTTTAGGTCTATGCTGACCATAGCCGTGTGGTGGCCGCTGTGTCTATTTTCCAGAATTGTCTCCTTTATATTATGGAGAGGCATGCACCGTCGATGAACCAGTCCTGAAGCCATATTGGCTGCTGCTGAGATAACCGTTGAGATGCAAGTGGTGGCGCAGTCTGTTGATGATTAGCTTCTTCCAACACCTTCCCCATCGCCGACAAAAGGCAGATGGGTCTGAATGATGAGGCTTCTGAAGGATCTCTGTTTTTCTTGAGGAATAATACCACTTGCCCTATTTTATATGGTGTTGGAAAAAGTCCTACTGACAGAAGCTTATTGAAATAGCTTGTATAGCGAGCACTGCTGTACTTCAGAAATAATATAAGATTAAACATCTAAGAAATAGATAGATGATGCAGATGATAGTAAAGCTAGGGAAAAAATTGAATTTTAACGAATTTTTGCTGTATAGAAGGGGTGGCTGTAGCGCAGCTTTTACAGGGAGTGGTGCGGGTCTTATGCAAATAATATATATATATATATGATATGTGGTAAACTAAAACTACTTAACATCTAAAAGAAAGTAATTAATTTGCTTCATTTCTTTTTACAAAGTTATAAGTAAACGTAAACTGATCAATGCCCAAACGTAATTATTTTATTTAATTTTTTTGTTAATTAAGAAACATAATGTGTTATTAAAACATTAAAAAATTAAAAGTGTTGTACTGATTATGTCAAACAATATTATAAGGAAAATCTTTAAAAATTAGATTTGCTTGTGGGTGCCTTATGAATGGATGGCTGAATGCTTTACAGGAAGGGTTAGCCGAATTTCTGAATCATTAGTTGAAATCTGGAAATTTATGATAAATCTGATGACAATCGTGGCTTAGAAGACTATGTTAGCTTAAAAAAATTTCGAGAATCAGTAGAATTTGAGGATAACAGATATATGGTTTGCTTGCTGTGGTACGAGTATGCAGGGTAATTTCAGGATAATTTTGAAGTAGCAGAAAAATCATTTGAGTCTCTGTGGCTCAGATTTAAGAAGAATCCGAAGTTTCATAAGCTTTACAAAGCTGTGATAGATGGTCGTGTACAAGAAGATATCGCGGAAAAATCGGAGTATTACTTTTGAAATGATGCAAATATGGACTTTTGAGTTTTGAAAAATCTTGTGGCAGCTCTTATTGATATGAAGTTCGGCCACCTCTCCTATATAGCAATGTAATATAAAGTCATTTTTTATGTACTGAAAGAGAAATAAGTCTTTTATGGAACTTTGTAATGAAAATTTTTAATTGCAGTCATTTTTGCTTGATAGCAATCCATTTATTAACAGAACACAAAATACTTCACAATCAATACTGAATGTAGCATCCATTACTAGTGAACTAGGCCTGAAGAAGAGCTAAGATGTATGAATATCAGAAACTCCTTTTCTATAGGAAAGAATGATACAAATCCTCGCACGTTATCTTGTCACAATGATACAAAGCCTCGCACATTATCTTGTCACATTTTCAGCGATGTTGGATGATTAGTAGATACCCTTGACTTCAGGTCGAAAGAAATGGGACTGGAGTTCTGGCAATCTCCATAGTCGTACGTATTAAAAATCATGACTTAATGTTTTAGCAATAGCTGTGAGAAAGAATTTCTCCATTCTAACAAAAGACAAACTTTGGTTTTTGTGACACCTATGAATATCACAAAACCCCAAACTCGCCTTCCTGCCAGATTATGAGTAATGTTGTTTTGTAGCAGGTTAGCATAATCTGACTTTTGCTAATTGCAGTTCAAATGCAAATTTACTTATTTAGGATTTCAAAGCATAGCGTGGTCTGGCGGATACAATCGCAGTTAAAAAATTTACAGAATGAAACTTTTTGAATACCTCCTATCTTCAGTTTTGTACTAATTACACTAAAATACTTCATAAATTAACTGATATATAAATTTTTAAAATCTTTTCTGAGATTTTTGGATTACGTGGTGATCTAGCGTATACAATCGCAATTAAAGATTTACATAATGAAACTTTTTTAAAATACCTCTATTTTCACACAGTTCTATATTAATTACGTTACCATACTTCATAAATTAACTGATATATAAATTTTTTAATGTTTTCTAATATTTTTGGATTATGTGACATTTATGCACTGGTGAATGTCCTGAGTGCTGTTTAATAATTTTTTTCAATTAAATTTCGAAAAGCTGTAAAACTTTCTGCTTAAATTTAAATCTTGTCCTGATACGAAGAATATGGATCTATATTTCTGCGACTAAGTTTTGGACTATTTCGATAAAATCAAAATTAAACGTTGCTGTCGGGAGTGAATTTTAAGTAGGTTTTTAAACGCTTAGCGCAACCGAAGAAGAGAGCATGCTCAGAACAGATTCAATATAACGGATAACAACGAGTTTGCTTTCTTTCGCGTGTTTGTTTCTAAAAGTGTGACTGCAAGTATGTTCAGTCCACCTTCAACGACCAGAGTGAGCGACTCACTTAGTAGTAACCCAGAATCACCGGCATCTCCTAACAAAGAAGTCCCAGCAACAGATGTTGATTTCAGTTCTAAATCCTACGTCAACGATCTCCTGGAATGTGGACTGAAAGAAGAACGATTTCGGATTGATAGGAAGAAATTGGAGGACATGCTTCAAGTTCAACAAAGTATGTTACATTTATTTCTCAAAGTGTTTTACACTTATCATGACCCGAAGAGTAGAATACGTTAGGTTTATAAGCTATCCAATATAAAATACATCGTGTAGAAGGAATTAAGAATATAAATGTAATTATTTCACGTCTGTTATCGCTGTTACATCAGCGCGAAACTGAAGCCCAGTAGAATTTTTTTAGTATATTTTCACATGCCTATTCGAATATTTTAAGAGGAGAAAAAATCACTATTAACATTAGTTCTTTAAATTTGGAAATTGACTTTTTTTTGCATTGAATATTGCGGCTCTCCATTTTGAAAAAGAACAAACTAAAAATAAACTGTTTAATTTTAAGAATTTGTTAGAAAATTAATGTAACGATTAAAAAACATGGTTCATTGCATAAACTTTATGCGACACAAGATAACGGGAGGTTATTCGTCAAACAATGAATAAATGCTTCAAGTTTAACTTACGCAGAAAGTTTTATAACTTTTGGGCTATGTTTTTATAGTCTAAGAAATTCAAGCAGAATTTTTTTATGTTAATAGAACAATGCATTCAAAATCCGAGTACTGTTATTAAGTTTACAGTAAGACTTTTGTGCGGATCTTATGAAAAAGGGAAACGTGTTTTTCTAACTGCTGTGTAGAGGCAAAACCATCCGAATTGCCCAAATGATTCATCTCGAAAATAGTTTACTGTGGGACATCACTTCTCGAACATTGCAAAAATGTCTTGTACATTTAACTTCTGATTCGATTGAAAGATGTTTATGAAAATGCTTAGAGAAGGTGAGTCTCAGCATTTTAAGCTGGGAAAACGTTTCGACTAAAGATACTGAGTTTTGTGTATTCCCTTGGGAATTTCGTTTCATAATTTGAAGGAAATTTAGGCAGATATCTGAGATTTATTTTTGTTAACCTCTCACGAGGTCAAATTTTTAATTTTGATTTTATTCTTATACTTAAAAAATGTAATTAAATTTACAAAAAATAAGTTTGTTACTTCCAAATAAAGCTCTGTGCATTTAAAGCAAGTAAAATGTACAGTTCTGGTTGAGAAAACGGTTTCGCTGAAGATTTTCCAATTAAAGACTTGGCGAAGGGTTTGAAGTATACGAATGTAAACCGCATTAAACCTCTCAAAACAAAGAAACTGTGTTTTATGGATAGGTTTGAATAGTTTTGAGGAATTAATATTGACGAAATTAATAAATATTCGTTAATTTTTCTGCCACTGATGATTTTAACATTTCGTAACAGTATAGTCTTAAGAACTTCTCGAGAAATCATGTAACAAATACTCTTAATGAACGCAGAAATATTCATTTTTATGCAATTTCGTGTTAACTCTGTGTAAAATTTGAATAACAGTATGTTGGCTGTATTTTAAGTAGTTGATAACGCAAAAAACCAAAACCTATGAAGTTTGTCTTGTGAGTTAAAACTAGTTCGAAGAGTGAAAATTATGGATTTGATGCATCTGGGATTAGCATTTTTAGTTTCAAAATTACTCTAAAATGAAAACCGGTTAACATAAGCATATCTAAATGTGTTTAAGAAATATTTACTGTATGATAACATAAATTTATAAATACGTTGAAATTTTGGCGATATAACCTGCTACAATGAAGTATTGAAAATTCAAGTATTTTCTCACTTTTGGCCGTTTTTTTATTCTTTAAAATAGTTACTTATATGTGCATTAAAATATTGAAATAGTCCTGTGTTTTAATATACCTGGCACATTGTCTCTTAGTAATGAGTGTAACTCTAAATAAAACTGGGGAAATGGGAAGTGCGGAAACCTGCTTCTTAAATGTATGATTTTTGTATAAGACTTGCAGAAATACAAATTCGATCACTTCGACATTTAGCACTTTTCCATTTTAAGTTACAAAATGAGTTTCTTAATTTATTGCAGATGCAAATCCAGGCATTGAAAATGCTGAAGTTTTCTTCCAGAGGGTAAGTACCTAGGTTTCATTTTAAATACGCTTTAATTTTAGTCTTTAATTTAATGCATATACACAATGAGATTTATCTGAATTAAGTGCAATGATGCTAATAACTGTACAGAAAAATGTTATCTATTCTTCTCATCCATCATAAAATTGCAATTCCTTTTGTTTGACTATTTGTGCTGTCCAATTACTAGTGTTGTATCAAAATTGGTCAAGTGCTATTTACAAACCAGCCCCGCTAATGCCTGTGTGATGGGCTATCTGAGCATTGGTAGTTGTACCGCATTCAGCTCTCAACGCATGGCGTATTTAATAGGATTTCGTAGTGTTCGCCATGCATTTCAAAGCAAGCAGTTTCCCTAAAAAAGCCTTTTCTAAGGTAGATAGCCTCTTATTTTGGTGTAATCTATTAACCAAGCAAATTGCAGATAGAAGTGCAATCTGAAATATCTTAAAATAATTTCTGTGTAGTCGGTAATGTTACGCTTACTGCAATATGCGTTTTTAAAATGCGCAGATGGTCAATATTCAGGTCCCAGTAGTTATACTCAGTAGTGAATATTTTAATGGAATAATTTTCTCATATTTCAGCACATTTTCCATAAAATGAAGGATGATTTCGTTTTTGCTCCAAATTAAGTTGTGTCCAAAATTTGTTTAGTCTCGCAATTTCATTGTTTACAATATTAAACCCTTTGAGCCAATTTCTATCCTGTGTTTTGGTTTATTGCTTAAATAATTCCTTTCGAAAGTTTTATAATAGCTTCATATGCAAAGTGTAACCTAACGTTTTGAATGAATCTATTTTATTTTTGTAAATGGAATTACTTTTCTAAAAGGAACAGTAGATAGCCGCGTTTTTTTTATGTAATATATTTTAAATACCATGAAATAACCAGTGCTAGTGACCATCTCAGTCCTGCGTATGCGATTCATTTTGAGGAAATTAAATCGGCATTTTTCAGTTGTCTTTTTCCACTTTTGTAGCTGTCAAAATTCTATTAATTCCCCCCCCTTTTCTTTAAGTAAAACGTACATAGATATTTTAGTCAAAGACAAAACCTTGACCAACGCGTTCTCCGTTCTGCTAAACAGTTAAATTTAATTTTGTTATTTGTGTTAAAACATAAATTATCTAGGCCCACGAGGGCTGAGTAGTAAAATCGCTGAACACTGGTAATTTTGGCTGTAGGGGCGTTTTTGTGGTTTTCCCTATGTTTAACGTGGATACGAGCCAATTTCTCTCGGAAAGCCCTCCCTCCCCTTTTGCGAATAACTATAGTAGGCTTTGCCACAATCAGCTAAACTAAACCATGATATAAATTGCGATTTTCTTTTAAACTGTCAGATGGCGAAGTAATGTTACTTTTCAGAACTTATTTGTAGCTGCTTTTAAGCATAAGCCATGAAAGCGCTTAAGTATTAATTTTTATCCGATGAAATAGATAAAAAAGAAATTAAAACAAATAAAATTTCTTAATTTCCGTTATGCTTTTCTTTGTTTCATGTTTTTTGTAGATCGTTCATATTCCTAAAAATTCTTAAATTTGTTAATTTCTCTTACCTACTCATTGATCGTAATACATAAAACAATCTAATTCAAAAAACTCATTTAATCGAACTTCTTAAGAGAAATGTACAGAAGTGAATGATAGGGCCAAACTAAAAAATCTTGCGCGTCTGTTTCCATTGTGTAGATGCTCACTAAGCAAACACGTATGCTATAAATTTGCATGGTAGCTTATACATTTGATCATAAATTATTTTCTGAAAATAAATTTTGGAAATACAGTCCACGCATATCTGAACGATTAATGTAGCCAAACCGACAGGCAAGCTTGATAAATATTCATGATTTACTTAAATACAAACCACTGCCCCTTAGTCCTCCGCAAAGGTATATCTGTATTCAAACAAATTTATTTTTGAATGTGTCACCAAACTGGCTACTTCAACTGAAGATGCTTCAAGGTTGATAGTTTGTATCATAAAAACAATCATTTCAGGAAATTACCAAGATTATTAGCACGCCATATAATTTCTTTTGATCAAAGATGTGTCGTCAGAATAGTGAGGAATTAAGTAATACGAAAAGAAATGCTCAAGTCATGAATTTTCATTTGGTTTCGTATGATTCCCGTAGGCCCAAGTATATGCTGGCCAATAAATGCCAATAATGCCTGTGTATCTACAGAATGTCTATCTCTGTATATGGGTTACTTCATAATTATCAATAAGCATTGGATTTCATCTTTAGCTTTTAACCGATTGCATACAGGAAAGTGTTCTCGGAAATGTAACTATGCATCTCTAGGCTTTGATCTTACCAATTACATCCATTTTTCATTATATTAATTACGGTTGATAAACAAGTGAACGGTGACTTTCTGCTGACCTTCTCTTAAAAGGGGGGAGGCGATTTGTGATGTTTGTTGAGGCTGCAGATAGTCCAATGGTTTATTTAAACAGTTTTTAAGAATATATCAAGGAATTATGTCTTCACCTTGCAATATATGCAAGATAAAAACAATTGCATTTATTTTAAATTTATTGTTTGGAGTAGTAGTGATTAATTTCGAATTATCTTTAAATAATTGAGAGTAAAATAACACAGCTGTTAACCTAAATTCCAGCCATCCTGAGTAGGTTTTCAAAGAAATATTTTATGCTGTTTAATTTTATGGCACAGTAAAGTTTTATTTTAAAAATATTCTAATAAGAATGAAAGTTTATGTTCATGTGACAAAGATCTCCCAACTTGGTTTTGCCCTGCTGTTTTCCAAAATTTATACCCGCACTGTCTACTTCTTATTATTGTGCATTCTACATTGGAGAAATGTGTGCACATCAAGAAGTCTGTTATTAAATTTTATCTTTAGTCCACAGTCGATCACGATAAGCTGTAGGCCATCTGTAATTATGTAGCTAGAAATATCACAATCCACACACACTGATCGAATAGCTGGAAAAAACATATTTATCAATATAAGCAACAAAAAATGATTAAGCTTAGCTTCAAAGTTACTGAAGATTTTGAAATTTTGAGGATATGTGCTTTTCGATGAATATTCTATCAGCTTTCATTCTGACTCTTCAATAAGTTGGTATGTATGAGTATCAGCGTATTGGGAAGGAAGCGAATTCCGGCATTCCGAATATTCAAATGACTGAGAAATTTGTGTACTTAAAGTAATGATACTAAATACAAAAACCTGGCGATTCAAGGCTGGTTTTTAAAAATTGGTTCAGAACCCTAATCCAGTAGTAGAAATCGTTACTGAAAAACCTGAAATAAGTATAAAAATGCATAATTAATACTTTCGGTTAATAAGATGACACTTCGCGCCAAATGGAAGTGTTGGGGCTAAATTTTATTACAGACGGGAATGCCTTTGATGTCTGAAGAAAATTAATTACTATCAGAAAAGGAATGCCTACGAAACAACCCTTGTTCTGTAAATCTTTCTTTTCGTGACATGCAGAGTTAAATTACTTTTCATCTTATAGCCAATTGTAAAATCGCATAATTAAATTCTTAACTCTTCCATATTTTTGAAAAAATCCGCACTTCAACTAAAGGCAACAGAAAATATCGGAAGGGAAAATTGTAGAATCTATGTTCATTCCTCTCGCTTTTTCATAGTGATGTCATTGCACTTACTCGTAAGGTGAAATAAAGAAGTCACCACATTTGGCGCTCAATTAAGACTGGAATCGCCCTAACACAAATAACGAAAGATTTTTTAAATGCCTTAGGATATCCTTTAATGGAGGAATAAAAGGAAATCTTGTCTTTCTGTGAAAAGCTGATAAATAGGTATCAAAATGCTTGCAACGTCTTGAAAACAAAGTACCTTGCTAAATAATGAAAAATAATTCAAGAATTGTGTCTTGGTACAAAAATTGTTACACTCACGAGTCGTAGCTAGGGTTTTCAGCGCCCAGGGACAACTGAAGATTTCGCGCCCCCTACTGCTTGCCAAGGATGGAAAACATTTAATTCTAAAATATTGTAACATCAGTTTGGCGCCCCTTGGATTCTGCGCCCGGGGACAGGTGCCCCCTTGCCCCCCTCTAGCTACGCCCCTGCACTCCATGTGGAATTGAACAACTTATAAATTATTTGTTAAATTTTAAAGTTTTAATTTTTTGTCCAACTTGCATTTCGTTGATAAGGTCCGCTTTGCATTTGACTGGACTTTTTAAAGGTTTTTTTAGGTTTTATTTCCTACTTTGAGAACGAATGGTCATACAGTAGGAGGGCACATTTTTATTAAATTGGTGAAGGTATCAAATTTCTACATGTGGATTTAATTTTAGTTAATGCACTCGTTCCTGTTAACGTTAACGCAAAAATTGGAACAAAATGTTTTATTCTAATTGCATGTTTAATCATCTTTGAACTTTATTTTCAAAAGAAAGTACTTTTATGAAAGCATAACCGGAATGTTATGGAAACCGGATTCCGAAATGTATACTATATGTGTGTGTATATACACTTACACGCTTTTATACATGCGTACATGAACACGTACTTCCATAGACACGCACATTTCTGAATCCAATCCCGATAACGGAAGAGTACCAAATTATGTACCAATAGTTAACATACTTTTGAACGTGTAAAATTGGGAAAGAATTGTAACTGTAAACATACTAATGTTTTTAACATTTTTTCCAGTTTTCAACTATGAAAGCAAATATTGGCTGGAAGCAGACCTAATTATTGGCTTTAGACCCTAAAAAGTCTAGTCTTAAGCAGTTGGCAATTTTATACAAATCTCATTCAAAGAACTTCTAATTTTATCAAACAATTCTGTGAGTGAGAATTTTGCCGAAACATAACGTATACTAATGTTTTTTACTAACGCTTAACATTTTTACGTGCGAAGACGAAACAGCTTCTTGAAATTCAATTTGATTTGATTCTTTTAAGCCCAAAGATTGTTTAAAATAGACCACTTCCGTTTCTGCATTGTATATTGAATTCTTAACGTTGTCATCATAAAACTATATTTTATATTTACTTGAACATATTCTGAAGATTCTTTTCCCAACTAGAACTTTAACTAGCTAATATACGTTCTTTCCAAATCAGGTGATGATTGAGACTTCTACACAAATATCTTGGCCGTCAAAACTGAAAATAGGTGCCAAATCAAAGAAAGGTAAGCTGAAATATTTCCATCCGTAGAGAAAATAAACTTGAAATTTTGAATTCTGATAAAATGAAATGGTTAATTGAATAACTGACTAGGCTATAGAAATACGAAGCTAATTATTAAAGTACACTTTAGTCACTAGACTTTAGAGTTAGTACTAGACTTAAGTACTTTATAGTTTATCTTAAAGTTGCTATATATTCAACCATTCAGTTTTACGCACTGCTAAGAAAAATGTTTTGATAAATTGCATTCGAATGTCATATGAACTTAATGTGATTAAGGAAAATTCTGGTTAATATTAAATAAGGCCTATCTTCTAAATATTTGGATACAATGTGATAGTCAAGTATTTATTAAAGTTAATCTTTTGTCAATTATAGTTATGTGAAATGAATATTATAAACAAGCATTTCCTGTTGGATTTGAATTTTGTTTTCAGATCCTCATGTCAAGATTATTGGAAAACCAGAAGCTGTACAAATGGCCAAGGAAAAGATATTGGAAATACTTGATACAAAGGTAGAACCAAATTTAATTTTTTCATAGCTAATTACTTTTCTTCATGCATGAAGTTTGAATAGATTAAATGATTTAAATTAGGGGCATTAAGAATATGGATGAAACTTCTTTTAGTGTTTCTCCTGACAAAGTTATCCAATGATATGTGTGATCATTATTTTTAAATTTTCATCCTTAGACAATTAAAATTCAGATAAATGTTTTATAGAATCTATGAAATTAAAATTCGTAATTTATAATACCAGTATTCAATTAAAAAAGTGTGTATCCCTAAGTGGCATGAAACTTTAAAATTTCTCCTTCGAATTTAGAATATATTTCATCAAAGTGGCAAAGTGAATAAAAAAATAATTTAATTTGTCTGAAAATCGGCTTCCAGCGAGTTAATAATTCTTCCTGACTTTGGTTTAAAACGAACGAATGAATGAAGTCTTCTCTCTGGCAACATAAATACGGATTAATTTTCCATCTAAAAGCTTTTCCTAAGGAGAAGGGGGTGGAATCCTCTTTAACCCTTTGTTGCATACAAACAATCTAGAAAAGTTAAACGAAAATTTTTGTATTTTATCTACTTAAAATATCCTTATTAATAAAAAATAATTTTATTCAAATTTAGTTTTAAATAATTGCTACAGTTCGTTCACTACAGTGGACAGCATACAAATCTCTTTCCAACGATTTATGGTCATTGCATTTGAAATCATTTCCTGCCTTGTTTTCAGTGATCATTACCATCTTCTAAATGGTAAATCTACAACTGACGTGTACATACAGATCCTCCAAAATACCTTCATTTCGTCGCTTGTGATTGAATTCAATTTGCTACAATTTTGTAACCTATACCTATTGGACTCAAATGTTCTAGAAATTCCTTGCCAAACAAACATTTCCAGTGGTGTTTTGGCTTGATAAGCAGTACATTTGGGTTTCAATTCACGCTTTTCGGTAGATCTTTGTCTACCCACTCCACAATTTTCTCAAACTGACATTTAAAATAAAACGTCTAAAATTAATAATTATTAATAAAAATGGCAGTGTAAGAAAATATAAGCAATATTATATGTTTACTATGAGAAATTGTACTAACTTGGAAACGGAAGTGGCAGTAATTTTCCAAATAACAATGTTTCACTTAGTTGTGCTATACAACCATCTATTATAGACAGCTGAAAGTTCTAATAATATAGAATGAATAAACACAGGAATGGAATCTGTTAAGGTATTTACAGAAGAATAAACAAATTTAAACTTTTGTCGACTAGAGTGGACATGATGCAACAAAGTTTTCGTATGCGTTATAAGCAATTAACTAACATTGGAAAAACATTTTATAGTAACTGAAAGAACAGTACACGTTACTTTAAATTTGATTTATGAACCAGTCACTGTTGGGCGAAACATATTAATAAGTAGCTGAACATTTTGTTTTAGGATATTGATGAAATGAATTTCTTTAGAAAAAATTAGACTAGATTTATGATATTAGTCATTAAACTGAAACTGGTTAAATTAATAGCTCAGTTATGTGCGATTCAATACTCTTCGTAATTTATTTTCAATTAGTATTTGTTCTTTGAAAATTAGAGTAGATGTAAATTTCAAATTGAATCACCAATTTGAAAAACGAAACAAACGCCGACTTGTTGAAAAAGGATTTTTTAAAACCTTGTTTCGATATACATCTCAAACGACAATACGAAATTTTTCGCGAATTTTGTAAAAGTTAGGATTGCTGTCTCTATTCACTTTGAAACCTATTAGTAGGTTAAAATACTTCAACTAAATCAGTCATGTACTCTCACTAATTTACAGCTTCTGATTTCGTTATTTTATAGTACAATCGTCACTCTCCCCAAGCAGCAAAAGGAATGAGGAACTTTCAAACAGGAAAGAGTAGTGAGCAATATTGAAAACTACTAGCCTTAATGATCCCCAGAGATTTCATAGATGGTCTTGGCGTTCCAGTGGCCAAGTGAATAATACTGGCACTTTGTTCGGTTCCTAATATACTATTTACATGACAAGAATAAAAGTAATTTTCTTAAATTGTTCCTCTAGGAAAACATTTCCTTTTTTGTAAAACGTTCGCCCTCACGTGCTTCGTTTTATTTTTAAAATCCAGTGATGGTCATCTAAAACACTCCTTTTCACTGCAGAAATCTAGCAGCGAAGTTTAACTTTCGTACAGAATCTGCAAAACATGCATTCCTTTTCCCGGGGGCTGAGACATATATGTCCCGCACTTTCACTACTTGAAATGTGTCTCAAGAAATTTCAGTAAACTATGGAGATTTAAAATTTACTCCTTAATATGGATTAGGAAGAGCAAGATCCTGTCGATTTGTTTTTCTGTTTCTTTCATTTAAAATAAGTCACTAAATGGCCAAAATACGTTCGAAATTGGCCCCTATAGCCCACGGGAAAAGGATAAATCACATTTAAACGAAATTTGTAGAATATTACTTCATTTTTTCCTGATTGATTGAAACCTTTTTATTGGAGCGCGGATCGTTGCCTTCACTGCCTATTTATTACCTATAGAGTACTAATTCGCTGAAACGTGGATTATGGCTCAATGCTTTATGGCTCCACACCAACTTCTGTATTACTGAAACTGGATCCTGTTTATCACCATGCTTTGCGGATATGGTTCGGAGCATTTATAATCTCCACATCGGTCTATGTTGATTGTTACTAGCCATCACTTCACTTGAGCAGTTGTCCATTAGCATGTATTTCAATGTACCTTTACTTCCTGACTATCTTTGTAAAATTGCGAAAATATTTAAATCTTTTTAAATATCTGCTTTGCATGGTGGCAGTGTTAGGTCTTGTTTGAAGCTTAACCATCTTTTTGGTCTCTAGCTGCTCACTGATTGAACAACATCAGAGATGCAAATACCCAGTAAAGCATTTCATTATTCCATCCTGGAAGAATGCGAAGATTTGGGTTTTTGACGTTTTCCAATACCATACCAGATACAAAAGAGGGCGTTACGTAGGCAGCTTTCTCTTCAACCCAGGCATAAGCATAGCGAGTATATTCCCATATTTAATAACTATGTTCGGCACATCATTTAGTATAACTGACAGCAGCATGGAGATTATATAGTTACATGAATATTGCTCAGTACTTTCTTCGGAATCGACTGCTATATACGATACGCTTTTATTACGTAAGCTGTGAAGGAGGTAGTTTATTATATGTACTGATTTCGCTTAGCACACTGAAAACTTTAGAGACCTCTTCTAAGACCCACAATTTTTTTGCAGTGGATATTCTAAAACATCAAATTAAAGAAGCTATGGATACCGTATCACCTAGATTCCCGGACACGTAGGGATTCACCAGTAAAGGATATGATATCCGCGGGTGGCAGAAATCGCTGCTAAATCTGCTATTGAGTTATCCAGTCAACTCCCCCCTCCTGGAGATACTATATAAAGACCATCAAGCAGAAAATCATCTAGCAGCAAACCTGGAATAAGTCGAGATATGTAAAATTGAAATGTGAAAACTAGAGTATTGTATTTAAAAGTGGGAAATATTAGTTTTTATTCTCATCTTGAAGTGCTGGGAAGATAACTAGAAACCGGATGGAAGAAGTCATGTTAATTCGTTTAAGAATAAGCCACTATTGAGTTACCCACAGCTACCTTTTAAAAGGCGTGAGTGAGCCTGTTTGTTCCATTTGCAAAGCAGTTCTCTCTGTGCGCTATTTTTTGATTCAATGCACGGATTTCGACAGACTTCTGTTGAAATACTTTAAGGCTGTGAACTGCCTCTTGAACATTTAGCTAGGAAAGGGGTTAATTCAAATTTATTTAAGGATTTAAGAACAAGATTATAAAATCTAATATGAATTGATAAAGTGTTTCATTAAACGTATTAAGTGTTATGTTTTATATGCTGAAATGTTATCTGGCTTTTATACTTGCATTCATACTCTGAATTTTATCTGATAATATAATCGATATAATCGATATAAATTTTTTTGAGGATTTATCTATTTTTAAACTTGCATTCATGTAACGAGTTTTATCTATTTTTAAACTTGCATTCATGTAACGAGTTTTATTCATTATTTCAACATGTTACTGAATCTTTATCAGAATACTGTATAATGTTTATTTAGTAAGGTGGGCTCTAATTATCACGCGTTTCGTTCATTATAACCCTGTGACATACTATTTAAACAACCAATCAACTATGCAATTTTATTGCATCTTATTCGGTTAACTACATGGTTTTATTGATGCTGATCATTAAGAATAGCCACTGCACTAGTAATTTTAAGTAAAACTTCAGAGATAATATTAAAAACTATTATACATTGCTGTTAAAGCCGCAGAGTGGCGCATAAAATGTGCCCTTTGTTTGCCACACTTAATCTATGAAAAAAAAATTAAAGTTTTAAACAGAACGAAGACTTCCATGGGAAATTATCGAACTGAAAATCATGTAAGCGATAAATTATTCTTCATTTGCTAGTGTCGGCATTTGGCATGGGAGGCGAAAATATTTAAAGATCTCTTTAAGTAAAGATAATGTTTAAATAAAGCAAAGAACATCTTTTCAAGAACAATTTTAGATTTTGTCTTCCGATAGAGAATTCAAAATTACGAATTTATAACTGAAGGAAATTTTATTGCATATAAATATTATAGTAATAAAAATGAAAGTGGTGTGAATAATTGTAGTTAGTTTAGGTATGTAGTGCTTTAGAATTCTAATGCTTTCGTTATGTTCACACAGAAAAATCGTGTTACTTTGAAGATGGACGTTTCCCATTCGGATCATTCATATATTATTGGAAAAAGTGGATTTAAAATCCAACAAGTCATGGAAGAAACTGGATGTCACATTCACTTTCCAGATTCTAACAGGAATAGTACTGCTGAAAAGAGCAACCAGGCATGTAATTTATATTTTACCTAATTTAACCTTTAAACCTTTTTTTGCTGTCTCTAGAAACTCGCTCATTCTTTTCTGCAGTTGGTCAGATTATTAGTTTTCAATTAATAATTGTAATATAGTTAAATATTATAAACGTTAGTTTTACAAAATTGCTAAAGAAAAGACTATCGTATATTTATAATATAGCAAAATAAACTCTTAAATTCTTCTTTTCAAATAGAAATGTTTAGAAGTTTGAGCAATATCTCTACATTTCACTTGAGAGAATGACTTGGCGAGTAACTGTCACTTGGGAAGATGCAAACTTCATGGTACTGAATTTCTCTGGCATGTCTTCAAAATGTAATTTCTCGATTTCTAATACATACTACTGGGCGGTAAAGTCGCAGAGCACTGTGAGTTCGAACTGGGTTTGATTGCAAATGAGTGGGCTAGCTGCATAGGCGTTTCCGTGATTTTGCCATGTGTAACGTGGATACGAGCTGGTGTCCCTTAAACAGTTCTTCACGAAGGCTTTCATGGCCTTGAGCAGATAGCTCTCCCGTGCTTTGCTATAATCAAATGTGAACGAAACCAAACTACTGTGAATGTTGGTAAGTAAGGTTGACTTGCTCACATAGAATGGAAGCCGAAGATTCTCGACCCTTAAATTCGTCGTAGCATTATGAAGAAAAACTTGCAAAGAGAATTTCCCGAGCTTATAGAATCAAACTTGACATAAACTATATAAAATTGCCTTAATTAGCATTTATATAGAACTGTAGTTTGTGTCTTATTAAGTATAAGATACTGTAGGCTATGGAGGGAATAAACACCTCAGTTGGACTAACAGCAAGGTCATTTTTTGTATATAAACGAGTCGAGAAGGTTTGGAACTTGACGATAGTTATATTTTCATGTGGAAAGTATATGCAGTACAAGAAATTATATTTTGCACGAAAAGTCGGAATTTAAAACGAGCACTGATGGCTGGGGCAGGAATAAGTATCGACGAACGCAAGAGCTGGCACATTTTCTAGAATGGCAGAATGACTGTAGAAGATGCATTGAGGTCCTTGGGCTGTTTAACAGATGATGCTGCTTGTCACGGAGCTTGTTCTGTGGTGGATTAATTGAAGCATAAAGCAGTGTAAGGAGTGGACGGCATCCTCACCCCTTTTGAAACCCAAAAAGCATTCATGTGACGCTGTATGAAGAGTTGTTGCTGCTTGACCAAGGATCTCCTGAGATTTCAAGAGCTATTCAGCGAGGAGTGGGGAAAAATTATCTGAGAATTTGCTGGATAACCTTCCAAATTCTCCGTTATGTAGTTTAGCTGCTTTAGCAGACCAGGCGTCCTATTTATACGGCACGCAATGGTAAAAAAGGAAATTTCTTCCAAATTAAACATTTGAAAATTTAGTATTGAATAAAGTAAACCTGTAAGCCAAATTTTCTAGTATCCTAAGTCTGTAGGATTGCATAGATACATCCCAAAAATGTCCAACATGTATATATTTCGTTCAATAAGCTGACCTTTTGAACAGGGTAGTTTAATTACAGTTAATTAACTTGGCGCTGTAGGGAAATGAGTCGCGAATTTAAACATTCTCATCGGTTTGATAGTGAAATATTAGGCTATTAAATTTTAATTCAGAGGTTGCTTTGATATTTAGAAAGCTACATAATTTTCATGAAATTTAATTCCAACTAAAATCTTGAGTTCTCCATTTTTAGAAACTTGTATTGACTTGTTTTAGGTATCCATTGCAGGCCAAGCGGCTGGTGTTGAATTAGCAAGGTCAAAGATAAGAGTGAGTTTATTTTATTTATTACAAATTCCAAAATTTATTACAGGAATTGTTTGCTTAAATTATTCTTACTCTCGTCTTACGAATTAAAGTACTTTAATACGCCTATAAAATTGTTAGTGTGCAAAACTTAAATTAGAAATTATAATTGTATTCATAATAGTACATTTCTTTTAAGGATTTATTGCCTCTGGTATTCATGTTCGAGTTGCCCAACGGCGAAAATGTTAATCCTGGAGAAGAATGTTCACCAGCCATTCAACACATCCAACAGACTTACAGCTTCAATGTCGCCTTCAGATCTATAGGACCTGTAGGTTTAGGCCGCACGCTGCTCATTGTCCGGGGTTGCCAAAGGCTTCTTTCTAGATTACGACAAGGGCTTGCTTTGCTTATGGAGTATCTCACAGGATCAAAAGCGGTTAAGTACTGTTTTACCTCTGGAAGATTTAATTAGAACTCATGTTTGTAAAATTCCGATGTGAAAACTTCGTAATGGTCTAAAGCCTATAAGAATTTAGTTAACTTTTTGAAAAAGTAAAAAATTAATTTTCAAAAATTTATTATGAAAATGTCAAAATTTGAGAAACTAATCTTGGTATGGAAATTTTACTGCAACACTTGAAAACGTTTTAAGCTTAGTCGCGATAGGTTTACTAATTTAAGAACGAATCCTCCAGAAATTGGACATGGAATATAAAACTGACGTTAAAATTAGCTTTTGAAATGCGATGGGTAAGAAAATTGCTATATTTCATCAATTCGTGTCGAATAGAAACTTGTGCTTTTAACACGTTAAGCGTCATTAGCCCGCTATACTAGTGGCTGGATATGTAGAATTCGATAGAATATAATTTTTTAAGCTGTATAATAAATGGCGCACTCAACAGATATAATACCAATCGTCGTTGACAGAGCACTTAACGTGTTAATAAAGAAGACTTGGTTATTTCAGACGCAGCTGTTCATTTGACTGGAACTGTTGCGCACAAGAATTGTACATCCATTAAACTGGCAATACTCTTTTGCTAAGACGCAAAATCTGTGAAATGAGCTTAATAGTTGATTATTTTGGAAAAACTTTAGGGGTTGATAATGTAAAATTCGAAAAAATTTTATTTTACTCATTCAACAAAGTAGTCTTACTTCTATTAACTTGACTCAAGTTAAATTATTAAATTTATTTCTGAAATGCTTTAATTAAGTGGCTTATCTGTGACTAAAATCACAACTGGTATTCATCCATGTTGGGTTTCAGCTATTTCAGTTGACTGGCTACACGAATCTTTTTTTTTATTTTCTTTGTGCGCAGTGCGAATCTGAAACTGTTTACTGTCGATAGATTTTCAGGCATGCCGTATACCATAATAAATTCAACCTACGAATAGGATCCCATTCGCAAATATGAATAAACTATTGCATACGAAACAATTAAAAACTAGTTTTATTTCTTCTAATACCTATTGGCCGAAGGGTCAGAGAAGCAAGTGAGTAATGCGAAAATTTTCGAAAAATTTGGTTGCCTGAACACTTTTAAAACAAATATTTAAACATTCAGTTTATTGCACTTATAGTAGTCGATAGTTTTACAAGGACTATCAAATTATGTCCGTCAACTGTTCACATATGTTGATCCAAGTGATCTGTAGAATCATTTTTATTCAAACAGATCGAAAACAGATTACGATTAAATTTGAAAATTTTATTTGAATCCCCACATGCGTTTACATCTAGTGCATCCAGATGTTCTTTCAATATAAAATTTCCACAAGTTCTTATGAGGCTCTAATTTTTGCAATTTTGGTCGTTGACACAGATTCAGACTATAAAAATGTTTTAAACTACTTAAATATTTTGTAATTTTTAAAAAAGAATTGCATAAAAATAACGAAACGTTAATTTTTTATTCTCTCGGCCAATATAGTTAGTTATATTTAGGAAATAATTTTGACACGGACACAAGTTGATCGAGGTAATTTTAAAGATTGAAATCATATTTCGGCATTGCACTCATATTGCTGAGCAAAATGCTTGCATTTGCACGTAATTAAAACTGAAGTATCAGTTTAGTAAGACTTCCGATAACACTGACAACTATTATGTACGATGATTATAATAAGATTACTTTTTCAAAAGCTCTTTATTCAGACACTCGCAGAAATTACATTCCAGAAATGTGCCAGGCTTCAGTATTGATACACGACGCTCATAACCTTATTTGCATGAGTTAGAAATTAAGTTATTTCTAATTTAATGATTTTTCATGATTATTAGATTGCTTCTAAATAAATGAAACTCCATGGGAATATTAATGCATTTTTAGCTATTGTAAACTTGGACACTATGGTATGCTGAAAGAATTTTGGCAGAAATATGTAAAAAATTAAAGAATATTGCATACTAGTAAATCTCAAAAGTATCGCTGAATGACAATGAAAAAAAAATCGGCTTAAAAATCTCAGGTCGAAACTGATGTGAAAATTCCCAAATTTTGAAATTAAGTATCCGTTAATTTTTGTCGTACGGGAATCTGTTTCGTTTAATTTTTTAAAGAGTGCGGGTTTCGTAACTTTAAAAAAACTCGGTTTTTTAAAACTTAATTTAAAAAACAGGAATATTTGGAACATTTTTGTGATGCAATATGTGTGACAAACTTGTGAAAATAAGCCACACAAGTACATTTACGGATACTGTTCATTACAGTAAATGTTTGGAGAAATTCTTTGATTATTGCCATTGTGTTTCCATATCGCATGACAAGTTCTAACAATTCGCTATCATGCAAATACACTAGTTAAAACGCTAGTTTGTAAGCTTTTAGTCCGATCAGCTTCAAGACGTGTTACATTGTTGCATTGTTAGGGGAGTGCTTAGCAAATTTCGAAAACGAGAGTGTAGATAACTGAACTTCTCACCTTTTGACTGCATAAATTCCGGTTGATCTACACATGCTCATTTCAGTTATCTTGAAAAACCAAAATCAATAAAAATTTTATAATTTTTAAGATTTCGGAACTTCAGTGATTTAAACAGTTATTCCTCCTAACTGCATGTTATCCAATTAGAAATTCCAAATTCTGATATAAAACAATTTTATTTTAAGGTAGTAAAGCGATATCATTGTTGCAGATTCCTGTAATGGGTTTCATGAAAACTGAAATCGCTGCGCAACATCATCAGTTTGTAATGGGTGCTTGCAACGCTAATACGCAAATGATTACGAACAAGACGGGTGCAACTATTATATTCCCTGATTCATGTCCTTCTGGTTTTGGAAATGATAGTCCTACACAAGCTGGACCAATCATTGCTGGGCATAGCATTCTCAGAAGCAAATCTACGGTCATTATTCAAGGATCTTTCGATAGTGTTTGCCTGGCTTGGCAAGAACTGTTGGTAAGTAGTTTTAGTATTGTTATACTGTAATATTCCAAGGCGGTGAAACCTTTTATGATCTCTCGAAATGACTATTATTTCTGAACATAAATATTCGTAACAGAATATTGGATATTTTCTTGTCTAAGACGAGTAGCTATCTATACATATGAAAAAGGTTGAGTATGGAAAGTGGGTAGTCACCTAGGATTGCGTACATTAAATTGTTTGACTCTCAGCAAATCCCAAACACTGCAAAATTAGGTTATTTTGTGGTATCACGAGTCATAGAAAATGCCTAAGGTTTTCTATAAACAGCTAAAGGATTGAAAGACTCTGTATAGAAAACTTTTTTTAAAACATCGGTTTCAGTTTTCTGTTATAGTAACTTCAAGCCACTGTTTGAAGCAAAAATACAATAGGCATTTCCTTAAATAATATAAAACTCCTTTTTAGTGCGCTCTCTTAACATTGTTGACAGTATCCTATAAAACAAATAACGCTTCAACTCGAATACATTTCGATGTATATCTAAAACTTAAATGTTCTTGTTGAAATTATTTCAATAACAGGACATTTCTTTTTAAGGAGAATTTATCAGAATTACGACATGTCATTAATGATTTTGTGCGCAGCACATGCAACACTTTTAGACATTTTTTATTTTCCGTTGCCAATGTTTTCTTGACTGTACTATCATATTACTGGATTATCCCCCTGGTGGGGTAAAATAAGGAGTAGTGGCGTCCACGTAGATGTTGCAGATTGTGATCCTTGATTTTACTCCTATCAAATTATTTGCCACTTCAAGCAAGAATTTTATGCAACTTTTATTATAAGATCGTTTATTAAGCCTACCAGCTGAACTGATCACTGCAACTCGTTTTTATGATGCAAAACAGCCATTTATATTAAATTGATTTTAAGGGTAGACGTTTTACTGCAGATTTGAAATAAATCTTGGAAGAATACAAGATTCAAACTTCAGATATATTTCTGGTTTTCTTCTTGTGTATCATGAATACGAACAAATCTGTCCTTCACGAAAGCGACCTATCTTTTAGGCAGATAGCCCTAGGCTGCTTTCTTATTATCAGAGTAATTTTGATACTAATCTGGTAAGATTCATAACTGGAATCTAGTCTTTTTGATCCAACACATGAACCCCTTGCTGAAGGTTGTCTTGCATTGTTATTGTCAAAACCACAAGTGTCTATATTAATAAACTGCGAACATTTTATATAAAACTGATTACCAGCAACTATCGGATCTACTGGGAATTTACAACTGAAAATACTAAAAATTCATCACTATTTGCTTGATGCTGATCCTCCATTTGGATTGTTTAAAACTGAATTGTCTATAAAGCCCAATACACTGCAAACACAAAGTCAACCGAATATAATGTTTATTATTCAAATAGCGGTTCTGAATTAACGAGGTCCTATTTAAAAACTGAGTAAATGATTTGTGTTTGTAGTCTTCAGTGTTTGGCGTGAGGAAAATGATTAGCTTTCTTGTCGCGAATGTATTAAAATAGCATGAGGCATCATAAAATTTTCAGTATATTTGGTGGTCAATATAAATGTTGCATTTTTCATACTATTGGGAAAAACTATCCCTTATAAATGATGCTTTTTTTCCAGAAATGCTTGCCTCTGGTACTTATGTTTGATCTTAGGGAAGGCCAAGAATTGGATCCAGGTATTGTAATTTAAATACTTTCTAATTTAATATCGAATTGTGCATCTATCTTAATACTAAGTGAAACTGGATGCTAAAACTGCAGGTTTGATATTTTCTTTCATGTAATACAAGTGAAATTGAAGATATTTTTCTTTCCAGTTATGGTGAATAATTTTATGGAAGCATTCAACATAAATATCATGGTTCGACCAAAAATGAAGGAAAATACGAAAGTAAGGGTTATGCCCATTATTTCTTTTAATGACTTGGGAAAAATGATTAATTTTGGGTTAGAATTTGAAATATTAAGATGCATATAATTTTAATTACGGAACTACAGAGAAAGTAATATACCAGTAGAATATATAGTAGCTCATTTATTAGAGTATAATACGACAAATCCGTAACTTAGTGCATTTGGTGTTATACGATTTGTTTCATAGCGCATCGTATGGCATCATTAGATGGATTGAATAATACCGATATCTAGTAACTTAAATGATCATTTCAAGGTTTAGGCAAATTTTTTTCTAATTTTGAGTCTCTAGACTGTGCCTGTCAGAAGCCATATCAAAATGAGGAACAAGGCACGAATGTGTGCAACTTGTTATTTTCATCAGATGAGCAGGTGCACCTCCCTTAAGACATTCAGCTTTTACACCGAACCGCTGGAATCATCTACCAACTGCTATGCCAAGCCTCGGGACTGGCTCTGCGATCAGCGGCGTTTATTAAACAAATATATATACAGAACGTACATTGATGAATACAATAGTAGTGACGATATTACAATATTAACATTGATGAATGCAATAATAGTGCCGGTGGTACAATATTTACATTGATGAATTCAATAATAGTGACGATGTTACAATAGTTAAGATTATCTATTACACACATCTTAAATTTGCTAAATATTCGATCTCTGAGCCATAGCAGTCTACGGTTACCTACTGATGTGCAAGATCAACGATTTCGTAGGATTTTCCCCGCACATAATCCTTCAATCTGCTGTCTAACTGAAGACTTAAACGCAACTTGCCCAAAATAGGTTATTCGTTTTTTAGTTTAATAATGTCACAATTTTTGAGCTTAGGCGAGCTGCATAGCTTTGGGCTCGTGCATTCATCGTGTACTCTGCTTTCGGTATCTGCTAAAACCCATATTCATTATGCTGCGCGAGGTCCAATATTGAATTCTGATCTTACCCGAGATCATGTACCAATTTCACATGAAATTCTTGTTAGCTGATGCAGATCAATCTTCAATTATCTTTTATAGCCACTTTCACGAGCATAGTTTTGATAGAACTCTTTGCAATTGAGATGCCCTTGATATAGACCTATACATAAATCTATAATTCATCTCGATCTTTGAAATTCGGTATACCCTCTCGTGATCTCCAAAACTCATTAATCGCACAAATATTAAAGTCTTGTTTTTCTCAGGGCGAAAACGGCTGTAAAAATTTCTAGACGTTTAATCACTGCGCATTAATATAATCTAATCATATACGCATTGGCAAAGCTAACCAACCGTGTATAAATACTGCGTTACAATGTACTCTGTATGGCCAGTCTTCTGGTACTCCAATGCAGGTACCAAGATGTTTTTATATTGCTTTCTTCCGTATACCGTTGATTTTTTGGAAATATGTTAAGTAGAAAATTCTTTCATAAAATGAGATGTTTTAACTTAGTCAAGCTAAATAACCCTTAGTTATGTTTTTAACAACTTATGATTTGTCATTACATTTACATCACAAAAAATATAATCGTAAAGTATTTTATTCACAAAAATGTATAATTATTTTAAGTCTATTCTGGGATTATACCTAAAACAGACTGTTAAAATAGCATCCACCTTTCTTACTAATTTTTTGACGTTTACAAATTTCTTTGCTTTCAAGTGATATTAACACATCAATAAATCAACTGTGTCGCTGCATATAATTTACTACATTATTTAAGACTAAGTATTGTTTGCTTTCAAGAAAATGAATGCATAATATTGTTTGACGGTATTTTAGAAAAATTTGCTTTGTGTATTAGATACGACTGAAGGCTTCACTTTTAGAAAAGGCCAAATAGACAACCGTTCTCAAAATACGTATCACTCTTGATCTAGTTTATGCTTGATCGAATAATTGAGTTCTGCCTCTTTCTCATTCACTCGTTCCACTCCTGTTCTTGTTATGACTAATCTCACTTTGCCTGACCTAATCGGAAAGAGCCGAGGTGTAAAAGATTAAGTTTGTGTTATTAGCAAGAACAATAGAACGCCATGCAGATGACAGTATGACTTTGCTCAGTTCCGCCCAAATTTTGAGAGCACCCAGGGAACGGGTCCGAGGGTCTTCAACTCTTCTTCCCCTAACACCAAACTACATGAGGACTTTACTGTGTCTATCAAGTGCGGCTATGCTTTATCTGCGATTCGAATCTGGGTTCTTGATACGGTAGTCTGTCACTAATTATTATGCTGTTGGGTGCCGGGTTTTTAGTTTGACTTAATCCGATGAATATATGTGCTTTGTATTAATTTCAATCCAGTATGCGTAAAGAATTTAATATTAAAAATAGTATGATAGATTAAATAAAAGCCATGATATTTCGTGTAAAATATGAAGAGTAATAGATAACTCGCAAGGTAAGCTTAACATAAGAACTACAAAAAATGACATGCACATTTAATTAACATTAGATTGCCACGGTTTTGAATAACTTGAGTCCGTAATGAAACTTTATACGCAAAATGGTCAAAACTCGCTTCACGAGCACCTCCCATAAGGGCCGATTCCCATAATAAGCAAAACAAAATATAAAGAAATGAATTGACGTGCTATGTTTCATAGAACGAGCGAGAGGAGAAATCGTGACGTCACAAGTCCTGTTTGCATTTCGGCTATCAGATTGTGCTCAACACTTGTTCAGCTATAATCTTACTATCGCTTGTGAAAGTTGCAATTAGGCACATTGTCTAATTTTTTGTGTACGAAGTTACATGTTTGCCCTCAAAGAAAATGCCGTAAGAAGACGGGAATAAGAGGAGAAAAATCCCAGAAGTCAAAACACCAAATTGTTTAAAGGAAGGAACGAGGTGTGAGAGGTGGTTGACTTGACTCTTCGCACATATAAATTAGTCTACATCTAATGTTTGTGGTGTTCTTTAAAGCAAAAGATAAGATTAGAGACTGATGTTTCAAAGAGAGTCGAAAGAATTTCTATGCAACGTATTCTGGACAATGTTGAAAATTGCTTGGCATATATGGATCAACGAGAAGCAAATGCAAGGCGACATTATTAACGTAAATTCATTTGTGAGAATCCGAAACTAAATTTTGCAGATCTCCTTAACATGTCAGGATCGTCAAAGGACGAAGCATAATTAAACGGAAACTGGTAGATGACTTTAAAATATCAAGAGAAGAATGTGTATCCACCTCATTGTGAGGTACTGAGAAGCAGAAAGCTCAGGCATGAAAGGCAGCCGAGAATTTCAATGGGTATTCAGGAAGCTTGTGAATTCTTAGCGTTATCTGCCGCAGCAGTTTAATTTTGATGAGGTGTCTTTTCTGAAAAATGTAAGCGAACACATATTGCAACAGAAAAGAAGGAATTTCCGAGCCACAGCCAGTTAAAGGTCGGCTCAAGCTAGATTGGCAAATGCAACGGGTAACTTGAAAATGAAACCGCTGCTCATTTACCATTCGGGCAATCCACGAACTTTCAAGTATGTATTCCAAAAGAGTGGGTTAAATGTCATGTGCAAGTCCAAAAAGGTTTGGGGTGACGAATCTTTTGACAAACTGGATCAAGTGTTTGATTTGTCTGTAGAACATATTTGCTTAAAATGAATTTGCTACTCTGTGCCTTGCTTGTTATGGACAAAGCTCCTGCGCATATTCCAGGCCTAAAAGATGACCTCCTTGAATTTAAATTCATCAGAATCCAGCACCGGCCTCCCTAAATGACCTCTTTACTGCAGTGTCCCATAGAACATTTTTACATCTTTTACATCTCGTAGAACATTTTTACATTGTGGTCATTTCAAATTTTGAAAAGCTTTACACTAAAGTGCTCATCTGCAGGAACCAGTTCCTCTTAGAGTTTGTGAAAGACTTTCTCATCTTGCCTGCCTCAAGATAATCGACAAGGTATGGAAGGGTCACCAAAGAACCTTCATTTCTGCATGGAAGATTTGTCCGCACAGCGTTGTCGCATGCTACTTTGAGAGGTTGGATCAAGTACCTGTCGAGCCTGTAATCCACGAGATATTGTCTGGCTAAAATTGACATCTAGAAGCTAGTGGAAAAGCATAGGGGCTGAACACAGAAGAGCTTTTAGAGCTGCATTCTGTGTCACAGCAAGAGGTGGAAGAAACTTCGCCAGGGAAGGGGATAAAAGCCTCGGTCGAACCCCATTCGAATCCAATATAAAAGATGCGGAAAGCATGGGGAAACTGTTACATCGTACGTTGAGAAGCATCGCCGTAATAAGGCAGGAAATTTAAAAGCTAAAATTTTATTTAACTATTATGCCATCTCATTTTCTCCAAGTTTTGAAGCGTACGCAAAAACAAATGTGTTCAGGCAACATTCTTGTAAAAAAGATGCATTATGAATTTGAGTGTTTATTTCGGAATGGAACGTGTTTATATTACATAGACTTCTATGGGGAAAACGTTCTTTATTACAAGCAAGATACAGGAACAAATTACGCTCGTTAAGCGAGGTTCCGCTGTAGTTTTCTACAGTATTAAAGCTAGAACAAGTATTTTCTACTAGCACCATTTAATCGTGCGTTTTTCGCAGTAATTATAGTCAATGTTGTCTACAAGTTGTCTACTGTTTTCGTTTATTGGAATAACATTCGAAATGAACTGCAAAGGGTTTTTAGCCGAATTCATGTAGAGTTGGTTAACGTCGTTAGGGAAAATACAAACCAATTAGAATTAAACCATTATCAAGCATTGCCTGAAGACGAGGTAAGATGTGCCCAGTATAAAAAAATTTCAGTGTAGATCTAAAATTCTCTGAAAGAACGTTTATCATTGTCAACGGCATTGCGTGATTTCTATGTAGCCCGACTCAAGTGGCCACATAAAATCACAGGGATTTTAACCTTATAATTAAAGTGACGGTTTAAGACCATTATCTCAAAACTTGAGTATTGTGTGCATGATTAACAATAGGGAATGCATGAAATTGTTAATGTTAAGAAATCCAGTCATGACTTTGCTTGTAGGCTTGGGATAGTACTGTGTTGCGATTCGTTAGCATAATGGTAATTTGTACCGAGGATGCTTTCAAAAGTTCTGTGAATTCATTATTTTAAGATAGTGTCATATGATAAATATAAATTCTGTGCATTTTAGAACATTTCATACGCTTATGTACCAATTGTATTATGAATTCACTAAAATAAAAATTTGGTTTCTGGATTTGATATTCAGTTATCTGGATCCGACGCAAGCATTGTGGTTTAATATTCAAAATACATAATTACTCCGAATTTTTTGAATTCATCAGAAATTGGGCAATTTTTTACTAAATTGGCATACATTTACTTTTTATCCTAATCATGCCTGTTTTTGGCCACATCACATCATGATATGGCCCACCAGCAGCCGAGTGGTAAAGTGTCTGAACATTGGTAGTTCGGTCCGATGTTCGAATCCTGACGAATGGTCTGGCTGCTTAGGTGTTTTCGTTCTTTTCCTCAAGAGTAACGTGTATACGAGTTTGGTTTCCCTTAGAAAGTTCTCCACGAGGTCATCCCTCCCCTTAGGCAGATAGCTGTCGAGTGCTTTGCTATAATTAAATGAACCACATGAATTCTGAATGTTTATTTTGCAATGGTTGCTTGACGTTGTTTTTATTTCGGAACAGTGTAAGTGAAATTGTTATTTCCCTTTTATAAACTGAACTTTAAATAGAATTTAGGAGATGTAAAAAGTAAAAGTTCAAGGCAAAATACCTTTACCGTTCACGCAAATCATTTGCAAATACAGGTTACAAAATGCTCATTGAAAAGGCGCAAAAAGCACTATTTAAAATATAAATTAAACTCGTAAATTCCATAAACTTATTTTATTCGATCCTTATGAAAAATTTATATTTATTTGAAACAAATTCGTCTTCAACGAAGATGGTTAGTCTGCAACTAGTCTTTTTTTTAAATCGCTGGTTGTCATCTTTTCAGACTGAAACCATCGATCAAAACTACGGTAAATGCCTATTTCTCTGGAGTTTTCCCAATGCCAGCTATAAGATTGGCAATTTATTGAATAAAGAACATATTACGAACGAGTTCCAGTACAAAGAAGGTATTTAGTCTTATTTTTAATATCACTCGCACTTTAACGTTGCGGTCATTTACAAACTACTTGAAAAAGGTCTATGGAAAAACTTTATTTCCTGGGTTAATTAGAACAAAAAACTGTTATTTTTCTGAATATTTCTTTTTGAGATAAGAGGGTATGAATACTCAGTTTTTCAAAGAGTAATTTATGCATCGTTCAATGCTCGCTTAACCTTTCATTGGGAAAACAAATTTCTTTCAGAGCTCCGTTTAAAAACTGATCATATTTTAGTGGCCTGTTGCCAGTGTTGAAAAGAGTATGTATTTGATATCTTTAATTGTAAGAGTAAGCTACAATTGCATTACATATTAATGAATCAGATATAGCATTTTATTCTAGAATCCACTTTTGTTCCTTTAAACTTGTATTTCATATACAGGTGGTCGTGCGTTCCACAGACTTTACGACAATTCTAAATAAAAAATTAAGGGGACGAGATTTCAATTTTATGCCGTTGTTGAATTTCTCAAAATTGCGCATTGCTTGCAGCTGTTGCCCAACTTCGCCATTCAGTCGGTACGTTATGCGTAAAGTTTCGCGACAAATCTTTTCTTTCGTGTTTATGCAGTTTTATGACTATTATATAAAATGGCTACAAGGAGGAAATGGGCATTCTCTTGCAATCAAGTTAAAGGAATATGAAAATGATTAAGCAACGTGAAGTATTTTAGAGAAATTTATTCATAAATTCTAAGTTACTAATATTGGAAATGCAAAGAATGTCGGCTTCTTATTTTGAGTTCTTAAAACAAATTGCTAAATATTTCGGAGTAGCGCAATGCTCTAGTGTTGGTGAGGTTTTTCCTAATTCCACATCTTCACACATTCTGTTATTTCATCTAATTTAACGATTTCAGTTATTGACTCTGCATTTAAACGCATATTCTTAATATAAAACTATTGCTAAGTTGACACTAAAGTTTTTTATATTTATTGATTTTATTTAGTCTGTTTTGATAAGAGGGGCTGAAAAGGATTGCAAAATCCTCTTTCAAGTGCGAAAGGAAATCCTTGGACTTGAAGATGATTCGTGCCCTTTCTCACCTAGCAGCAAGGCGTCAAGCTTTCGACTACCAACAATCCAGACCTTTGGAAAAGTATCACAATCGCAAATTGATCTAAATGACCCGATCAAAAGGACTGGTATGGTTTCCACTGAAGTTACTCTGTCAAGTTTTTGATTTTCTTTATATTATATAAAGCTTGGAAAATATACTCATCTATTAAGAGTATTGGAAAATAAAACCAAAATCTTAAGATTTTAAATAAAAATTTAGATTAGCATTTTTAAAATCTGAATATAAATTCCACGCGCGACACAAATGTATCATATGAAGCTTGCAAAAATATTTAACATTACAGGCATTAATAAAAAATAACAGCAGTTTGAAGTTCTCAAATAGAAAATCACTGGTGAAGTCTAAATTTTTTCAATGATTTTGCGAGCGAATCTAAGGCCATGATGAATAAGCAGGTAAAACCTAAATGTTTCTCATCTTGAAGCGCATTTTTCGAATGCTCGATGAGGTTACTTGATATATTAAAATGAAACAAGTAACTTTCAAATTTACCGTGACCACATAAAAATGATAATACTCTAAAATATATAAAGATGAGAGATTATGAATTTACGTAAAGTAACAAACCTAAAGATGTAATTTTAGAACAATTTTCTGCAAAACATTAGTTGGAGTTTGTTCTGTGTATTATTCATTCGAATTTTATAACTGCATCAATAAGTGAAATTTGTCATAGGATTAACTAATTTCTATGGATTTTTTAATATTTGCCCATCAGAAATATCAATGTTTTTAATTCCTCTGCAGAAAAAAAAATTAAGAGTTTTAAGTTCATTAAGCGTTTTTAATCGAACTAAGATTTGGGCACCTATGACATTTCTTTAGAAATTTTTGCCGAGTTGCCGAGCATGGTATGATATTTTCCTGTATTTAGACTATCGTCGCCTATTAACGGGCCAAATAACAAATGCTGGTAAACCGTAGACTGAAACTATGAAGTTCTTCTTTAATTGGTCGTGACAATGACAAGTTTGACACCGTGCGTAAATCGTACTTAGCACCAATTCACCTTCATTTAAGCAACTGCAAAATGTTTAGATGTTTGAAAATCATGTCTATTTTTACGTTAAGACCGTTCTGAATTGATTTTTTTCATTATTTGAAAAAGCTTTCTATGTACCTGATATTGCAGTTTTCGCCACTTTTATCTTCAATTAGATTTGTCACGCCAAGTACTTTTTCGCTTTAAAATATTATAAATTGCTGCATGCACCTTCGTAGATGCTAAAGCAAGTAAAATTTGTCGTTGACTAATTAATGCTAAATGGAAACTGCTTTCAATCCGTGAAGACTTTCATAGCCCATTTATTTCTACAATGTTTACAGAATTTGAAGAACTTCGGTTTCTGTGTCAAGACTTGTTAAATCTTACTCTTTCAGCATCTAAAATCAGCACATACTTCATAAAAAGCTAATGAAGAAGCAATTTCTTGACTTTGGCGTAATGAACCACTAAAATGACTTCAAAGTTTGCATATAACATATGGAATTGCCGCTTTTGACCACGGAATGCTCTTGTGGTGTATCAAGTAGCACGTCTATTTGGTAATCTTAAGATTCTTTGTTTAAATATCGATGAAGTCACAGTTGATGTGTGACATTTTACAGCCTTGAAAAAATTTGAGCACCACAATGGCATAAAAAATAATTTGGTTTTATTACCTGAATTTGAGATCCCGGTCTCGAGTCTCCTTTTTAAATGGGGAAGAATATAAATTATTCTGTTTCCTCTTGTGTGTTCTAATGGTAACTAGCAGCAGGTCCAGCTGGCAGTATGGGGATCTTGGTTCCAATTTTTGCTGGGGCATAGCTGATTTTTCCCTTTTTCTGCTCTAAAAACCTAATTTTGCAATATCAGTTTCGTGCTTTTTGAAGTTTAATCTTTTCAAATGCATTTTTAATGAGTTTCAAGCGTAATTTATGTTAGTCTTTATTAGAAAATGCCTGGTGTTCAAATGAGACAAACGAATACTTTGATAGAAAATGTGTTAGTACTTAGTGCTGAGTACTGATGTATAGAACTTAAATATTAGGAGTGTACTTATAATTTTTGAGTGTATTAAAGATGAAATATGTGCAGAACAAATTTTTCAATGAATGATGTTCAAAGTTAGCCCGTTGGTGACCCCTGAATAGAAGCTTTGAACCCACATTCAGGTAAAAGGAATGACTAAATGTTGGAGATCTAAACGACTTTCCTTATGGTGTTCTCAAAGGAAGGTATCCGTTCTTTTAGACAGGCAGACTTTGCTCTAACGAATTACCAAGTTTGTGTTTTGTTTGATTGAAATGGTATTCTGTTTTACAAACTTCATACTCAGGACCTGAAAGATGCAGTACTATGTTTCAAGGTTTTCGCACAGTATGCATGTAATTTGTTTCCGCAATTACTAAGAAAATGCGCTTCTAATTTTTTTCAGTATTTTCTTGGCCGTATATTTGATAACGTCTTTGCCGCATACTTGGTAACGTGATAACGTCTTTGCCACTTACTTGGTAACGTATGCGCCTATAGAACAAAGTAGTTCTTGTTGAAAATGCTATAGATTTATCGTGAATACTTTTAAAATTTTTCTAATTTAAATTATTAGCTGTCCTAACAAACTTAATAGGTTTTAATACTACCTTTTATGTGAATTATTTCTGATATACTAATTACAGCTCAAAATATGTCAGCAGCAGAATCCTTGAGCCTTCTGACTAACATCATTCAACAGAATCCTCAGATTGTGGGACTCTTGAATAACTTGTCTTCAGCGTTTCCGCCTGCTAGCGCCCCGGAACTAGTGCAGTCTCAGCTTACCTCTACATTTCGAAATACTGTTGCACATAATTCCCAACACGGGCCTCTGAATCATTACTCTGCAAAAAGTAAGTTGTCATATTTTCAATTAGTGTTCAAAATTTAATGACAAATATAGATTTGAGATTTTTGATAACATAAATTATCTAAAATTGGATCATTTCTGCTTTTGGTGTTTATAATAAATTGCAATGGCAGTCTGAATGAAGCGTCCAAATAATTTATTTACAGGTAAAATTGAGAAACTTTTTAAAGGAATTTCGTTGGGTAAAAGCTCTGCCTGTTAGCCGAAGGAAAGTAGTTTTTAAAATACCTAAAATTTTGCAGAACTGCCATCAATTTGACTCCTTGGCGTACATCTAGTATGTTCGTGCCGTTCCAATAACTTTGGTCAAAAGTCGCGCAATTCCGTTTTCACATTCTCTGCATCAACAAATGTTTAGACAGCAAGGATATTGTGTAATGATCGAAAAAAAAAATGGTAATAGATGTAAGATTTAGGGAACGTGTCGGATGACAAGTAATTCAGCTCAGAAAGCAATGCAATACCATACCAACTCTCTGTACACTGCTCTGCAGAAAGTGGGCAATTCGCTAATAAAGCTGTGGTAAGTTCAACAGCCAGCATTCGTCTTTTGACTGCTTTATTTATCGATAATTCTCCTATAATCGACTGGATAGTGATAATTCACTTTGGATAGCTCAAAAAACTTCAGAAAGCATTATTTCAGAAAGGAGACTATCTTCACGCTTACCACTGCTTTGGAATTTCCGAAACTAATAGTGGCATTTAGCATGAACTGTTCTCCGCGTACGTTGACAAACATTGCTTCAAGCTGCTTCTGCAATACTGCCTTAATTAAACTTGTACAATAAATGGCTTGTCGGACTGCTCCTTACCATAAGCTATTTTTAATCGTTAAACGTATGTGTTATTGGTAACTCGGAAAAATTACATGTTCGATGCTTTATGAATTGAATTTGTCATAACCGTACCCTATGTAACATTAATTTTCCAACCGAAATTTACTTATAAAATGGGTAGAAAGTATTGCGTTTCGCTAATCATAGATGTAGCCTAATATCAAGAGTGTTTAATTTGCCAAATCGTATAAATTATGTACATTTGGAAATTACTCTTCATGTGGATGTCCATCTATTTTTAATCTAGCTTCATACAGTACATTACTTTATATACATAACATCAGCTACCAAGATTGTCTTGAAGCATTTTCTGTTTAAGTCTATGTAACTGAAATGTATACGGAATTCAACAAATTTTAGTTACTTAGAGTATTCACAGGAATAATCATCGCGTTTTAAAGGGTGTTCCTCAAACGTTGATGCCTCATTACAAATAAATGCCAATAAAATGTTTTATTCCCTGCTAAGTATTTTAAACCTTCATTTCATTAAGGTTTTTCCTTGAACGAATTTTCTGTTTAAATTTATTCACTCCTTTAAAGAGTATTTCAAATTTCAATTCTGAGCAAATTTATAAAATTCATTGATTTAACCTGGTATGAATGAAGTTATGAGAGCGTCAAAATTTTGCATAATTTTAAACAAATAACATAATCAGAAAGGGAAATCTCTCTTGTCGTTGGTCCTTGAAATCATTTTGATTTTATTAACTAGTTGAAGGTTTCAACTGTTGAAGTGCATTATTTTTAATCCTTAAATATGTATTAAATTTAATAGTTAATGATGCTCATTTCAATCTCTTGGAAATTTCATGCTAATTTCGTAATTATTTATTTCATTCTATGAAGAGAAGTTAAGATTATAGTTTATCTTATATGTTTAAATTACGTATTTTCGTCTTTCAGCTCGTATCTTTCGCCTGCAAAGAAACTTGTCTTTCTCAAATGTACAACATCTAATTAAAGCTGATTTTAGCTATTCAAAAATCTGCATCTTGAGCGATTTAAATATTTAAAGAATTAAATTATAGAATATAAAATGTTTATATTTTAGACTAATTCTGAGCTTAACTTATGGCAGCTCGCTTGTAAACTCATTCACTTCCTGTTGTAAAATCAGACTTTTTTAGTTACACACTAAAGATAAAACGCTAAGTGGCTCAATAAGTACTGTTTTGTTGATAAAGTAACTTTTCTAAAATGAGGTTATCTTTCAGATATTGAAAACTGGATAAATCGTCCTGACAAAAGTTATGCCTTGCCCTCTGCATCGAATCTGCAGAACTACCTACCAAAGGATAAGAATGGAGCAGACGATGGAGATTCGGGAATATTTCTTCCTTCTCACAACAGGTGATTCCATATTAACTCTAAACGGAAAATAATCCTTTTCAAATTAACTGTTCACTCCCCAATAGAACGTTGCGTTCGAGGCCGACCGATGGCCGAGTTATAAAATCGCTACTAGTGTCTTGAACAAAAAAAAAATGTTTCTAGCGTCAGAGAATGGCTAGGTTGCATGTGTTTAACTAGTATAAGAGTACACGTCAGTTTGCCACAAACTTCATGAAGGCATCCACTCCCAAGACCGATTATTTACAGCAAAGCACAGGAGAGCTAACTAGTTCGAAATAAAAAAATATGGATTAGAAACAGATTCATCTAACTAGATGACATGTAAATCTTAGTTTAAATTTGTTTTGATTTTTTAGAAATTCAGAATTAAAAAAAAAAAAAAATACATAAATTATATTTTGTTTTTAAAACAATTATGTTAATTTCGGTTAAGTCAGAAGCTAGTAATTACTTTTATTCCAAGATCAATATAATGTATCGTAACCTCAATCAATTCGATAAACAGAATGAAATACTTACCATCTATACATTCATATGCCTTTTCATTAACGATACCCATACATCTTTATTATGACTAAATGGAATTATTTTTGTAAAGCACATAGGAAATAATGTGTATAGTATAAAGGTGTTGGATGTTTTCATGAAAGTTTTTTTTGAGGGAAATAGGCTCGCAATTACGTGGAGGGGGAGGGGAAGACCCTTTCCCTCTTTGTCAAGATTTGAATCTGTAGAAATATCAGCACTCGGCAGTTTTATTGCACTTAGTCGTTAGCGGAAGATTACGTATGACTATTTGATCTAAAGGGTCAGTTATTTGACATTTAGCACTTCAGATAAGAGTAAACCAAAAACAACTTTTACCGATTTGTTACACCGCGCTTCTTTCTAAACAAATCTGATCAGTAATATCTTAATTTTAGCATTGTAAAATAAGTCGAAATGCTGAACACTACGAAATCCCAAGAAAAGGTAATATTTCCAGAAGCAATTGAATTTCATTCTTGAATACAATTGTCTTGTTAACATTTTGCATAATACGCATTAGGTTTAGGTGATTAGGGAGAAGATCGGGAATTTCAGATTGATTTCTTATAGAGTTGAAACTTTTAGGACGAACTAGTTTAGTCCCAAATTAGCAGTACCAGAATAATAACCAGTTCCGTTATTCATACAATTTTAACGAATAGAACAGTTTTAAAAAAATTGCAAGGGGACACTGTGTTCATGACTGAATCTAATTATTCACAATTGATATTTTCTGGAAGTAGCTGAAAATCGAAAGAGAACTGACCAGAATCTCTGAGTAGAAAAGATCATGAAGTTGTAATTTGAAATGGAAAAATGATACGCGAAATGGTTGTTGGTCATTTGAATACGACAAAGCACACGAGTGCTATCTGCCTAAAGGAGGGATATTTTCGTAGAGGATTGTCTAAGAAATTCACTCATATTCAACTTAAACATCGAGGGGGCGGACCACGAAAATCAACCATACAAAGCCAGCCCGTTCACTGAGGATTTGAGTGGAAATCCCTGTATTCAGTGGTCTTAACCACTAGCTCTCTGGTAGGGTTACGAAAGGTTGTAATTTGTTTTAAGTGATACTATCGCATATTCATAAAGGATCTCTGAAAGTTGGGGAACGATAGTTTACTCCAATTTCGATCGAGAAGCAACCTGGTTCTTCCTAAACGGTTGTTTCCACGGGTTTCTTCGTGTAATAACACAGGCCTGTTTCCTTTTAGAAAGTACCTCGCAAATACTCAATCGTTACTACTAAATATTGGTGGTTTGTGCAGGGTTGGAGACACGCGAACGGACTGGTTGAATGGTTCGTTTTCGAATGTTTAACATAAGTGAGCTAGTTTTCCTTAATCTCCAATGAAGGCATTCCTTCCCTTGTATACATGGCCTCTATGTGCGTTATATTCCGTTAACGCGACTTAAGTCCTCCATGATCCTCCTTTTTCGGATCTAATATGCTTTAGGCCTTCCAAGGGCCAAGTCTCTGAAAACTGCTGGTTTGATCTGAGGTTCAAATCCCGCGAATGGGCTGCCTGCCTTGGCTCTTTCGAGGTTTTCCTCATGTGTAACGTGTATACGTGTCAGTTTCCCTCAAACTCTTCGATGAATTCACCCCTCCTCTTGGGCAGATAGCCTTCCAGGCTTTGTCGTAAGCACTTAAACCAAGCATCATATGCTGTAAATTTCAACAATAGTTCTGAAGAATACCCCTAAGTTTGTATAGAAATTTAGTCGTCAATGTAAGGGCTTACAAGAATGCTCAGGCTACCGAAGGGTTTATACTGTTGCGTGCGTACGGGTTCGTTATGAAATGAATGCACAAGTCCGATGAAAAATGAACAAAAATTTATTATTATCACAACAAAAATGCTTAAATTTTCTCAAATTATCATGCAGTGTTACAATATCTCACAGTAGTTATCTTTTAACTACTCAAATGTCCAATAGAACGTAATTCAAAACGGCTAAAGAACGCTAATCCGCGAATTCGCTACAATCAACAACGGCAGTTTTCTAAACAACAACAAACTAAGCAACTCCTACAAACTGAGATGTTTTCCTCCTTTTATAAGATTTTAAAATCACGCGCTAGAATTTTCCAGCACTTTCTCGAAATCAAAAAGAGATATTATTATTTAACGCACGCGCTCTTGTATTTTAATTTTTCCGGCTTAGCTTTCTTTAATATTCGTCACGCGCTGCACTGCGCGAGAAATAAAACCATTTAATTTATAATTGAACTAACATTAGCTTTTTAAATACCAAATTCGTAACAATAGAAACACTATCTCTGAAAGATGAAGACTTTTCTACCCTTTTAGACTTAAATTTTTATAAATAATTAGCTTTGTCAAAATTCAGGTTCATACCGTTCTTGTTTCGGATTTTAAAAATTTAAAGGACAACAGAAAAAAAATTGTCGAAGCTAATAGTGACATTTTAGAAAGATAAAAAAATGCATTAAGGTATTAAGGTTCCCATATTGAATGTGTGTAAAACTCAGAACTTCTGAGATTAAATTATAGACTAACAGTTTGTTCATTTAAAGTTGCTCACATCACGGAATATTGCATTGTGGCGCATAACGGTGCATTCGCGATAATTTTCTAATTGAAATAATCTTAGTCAGTTACCACTTTCTGCTTAGGAAGTTTAAATTTTATTTTCAATTTTTATCAGTTTTAATAATTTAAGTATGTTTCTTCATGCGTGATTGTTAGCTCTTATGAAGTTTCCATTCAGCTTTTACTTATTAAAAGTGGTTTCTAAAATTGTCACTGTATGTAACCCATTTGAATACAGTATAGTCAAGGAAAAGTTTTATCCATTCTGTTTTATCATAGTTCATATAATTTTGTACCTTTTTCTAGATTTATGAGCAATGGTGCCGAGTCCAAGAGTGATATGAGCAGCCAGCCTGAATCTTCGGCCTCTTCGACGTCTTCTAATGAAACTCCAGATCATAAATCATCCAGATTCACTAGAAAAATGTCTCAAGTTTCAGAACTATCTATGAACACAGACGTTCATCAACTTCTTGCAGAATATGGAAACAAGAAAGTAACTGCAAACAAAGGTTATTTAACTTGCATTTACAATAAAATTGCAAAAAGTTAGTCATTTTTAATTTAACTGCTTACTATCTGTCACGTCATCCACTGGTCTTGTAGCAACAGCAGAGTGTATTGTTTTAATTAGGCAATGGCTATCTAATTCTACTGGCTGTATAATGATCAGATCCTCAGCATGGAAAATTGTTTAGCTGTTATTTTAGTTCTGTTAATGCATTACCTTTAACTGCTTGATTGCTAACCGAGCCAACAGCAAAGAGCTTTCTATCATTCGATTTTTAAATTAAATTCATCAAATATTTAGTTTTTAAGCAGAAGGGATATATGTGCAAAAAGAGTAAATTGCTTTGCCTTAATTGTTAATTTGCTAATTAGTAACTAAAGAGTAAATTGCTTTGCCTTAATTGTTAATTTGCTAATTAGTAACTAAAGAGTAAATTGCTTTGCCTTAATTGTTAATTTGCTTAAACTGAGATACAAACGTCCACGAAGATGTTCACTTTAACTGAGTCACGTGTCCTGAACTGAAGATGGGTAAAACATCTGTTAAAAAAATAATCGCTTCATTGTGGATCATCTTTATTTTTTCCTCAAGTTCTTCAGGCTATTTAAAGCGCAATTTCAAAATGCCTTCAGTTTTGCATCAGAATATGTTGAGCAGGGCGAGAGATGATGCTTAATTACGACAAAAAAGGGCTATCGCTGGAAAACGGGAAGCTTTCTTTCAAGAGAGCAACAATATACGAAATTATCTGTTATATGGTTCATGCCAAATCGAATATTTTGGAAATTTGAAGAATAACTTAAATGGTTCTCTAAAATGTATTTGGTTTTCATTTCACATTGAAAGAGTTTCTTGTTATATACATAACTTTTCTTACGGTAGAGTACGATTTTACTTTAATTATTTAAACAATGAATTACTCTTTCAGCGATGCAGCAACCAATCGGAGAAGGTGTTCGAACTCCAACTTTGTTGTGGTCGGGCTATGGATTCTCTAAATCAATGCCGGATTTCATTGCCAGGGGAAAACTAACAGCTGCAAATTCCGGTTCGATATCTGAATTTCTTGAGGTACTGTATCAAAATGCTGTGATTTAATGTTACGTTTTTCAAATCGGTAACTTGATGGGATCCCTATTAAGGGAAGGCTCCAGAGAGCAAAATAAGCTTTTAATATTGCCAAAAATCAGCTTTAATGAACATAAAAGCTTTAACTCTTTAATTAAATTTTCTGGTTACGTTGCTGAGTGAATCGGTCACCTTTACAAAAATTCTGTTACTTTATTGCTTCAAAGCCGGACTCTGTTGTAATAATTTTTAGTTCTTTTATTATGCAACGATTTTCTATTGTATAATTCTTGGAAAACTGAAGAATATTGTAAGTGTTTGGGTCACTTTGAGTTAAACTACTAATAAATCCTTAATTGTTTTTTCTGAAAATAAGCTCTAAGCATCCATTTTAGTTGCTTGTAATTTCTTGTTTGTCAAGACGTAGGTAGAATTTTTTAAAATCTACTTATGTACCAACTTTGACATGTGAATGTATAATACCAAACTAACAAATGCATTTATTACGTTAAATGCAGAATTTATTTTAATATTGAAAAATATAGGATCAGTAAATTTCGTTAATTACCATACAACCTGTTTAAAATCGTCTACCTTAAGTTGTCAGAGCTGGAAGCGAGCCATTAATACTAGTATTAGCATTTAATGTACATATGCTCAATATTTATGGAGACACTGAGCTAATCCTGTTTTAAAAAGTTAGGTTTTTATAAGACTTTAAACTGGTATATAGAATATTGTGCAATCGATGTAGAAGTCTTTGTGTTTAAATTAAAATAATTTAGTAACTGCTTCATAGTTCAGTGCTGATTTATAAAATTAAATATTCATTATAGAAGATAATTCAAATTTAACTTTATGAACTCTAATCTAAATGAATGTACTATAGGCTAAAATATTCTGAAATTAAGAACATAAAAATCGGTGTTTAATGAAACACTAGTTCATCTTTTGCAAGTTTCTTGCATTAAACTCGACTGATAAATGAGGTTAATGATTGGTGCTGCATCTAAGCATCTTCTATGTCTTGGTTCCTGTATAGGTGGAGAATTCCACTTTATGGCCATTATAATTGTGAAAAGCAACGTTAGTAATTTTGCATTTTTTCAGACTAAATTCTGAATTCATATTATAAATGCAGCTCAAACTCTGGTAGACTATGGCTTTGAAACGTAATTTTTAATATGCTACGAGATTTCAGATCTGCAGACCTCGTGTTCAGCTTTGTTTAAGCTGCATGGTTTTTTTAATGTTGAAACACCGAGTACTCATTTTTAAAACCACTATAGGCTTTCTCTGGAGCTGTTGGAAAACTAACCCAAAGTTTCGAGGTGCGTTTGAATATTCTGATTTTTCTTAAATTTAATGTTATTTTCTTCAAAAAATCTTGTAAAACGAAAGGAGTGTATTTTTCTCTTAAAAGAAGACATTTTGGCATTTGTGTCAAAATCTGGCCTTTTTTACCTTTTAATATTTTATTCAGTTAACTAAAAAATCCTGGTTGCCCAAATGCTCTATACAAGGGGTTCTCAACCAGGGAAAATTCCTTCCTGGATAGGAATTTCATAGGGGTAAATGCGTTCAACCTTTTTATTTAGCTGTTAAGTATTTAGTTTTAATTCATGAATGTAAACTACTTTTACTCTAGTTTTGGTATTTATCAAAAATTTCTACACTTTTGTTTACTTTATAAAATGTTAAAAATCATTTAAATCTATATGTTTACAGTTTTGGAAAGGAAGGGTCAAATCCTCTTCCAGCAGCAGTGAAAGGGGGGGCATGTGCAAAAAAAGGTTGAGAATCCTGCTCTATTCTCCTGAAAATTTTCTAGTAAATGAAGTTGGAGTTGCATTGCTTCATTTTTTCCTGCCGGCTTTTATGGAGGTTGAATGCAGCGAACGTCGTTTCTAATACTTGCTTGAAGCCTGCGACCAGTGTCTAAAGCGATAACGCATAGGCATGAGGATAACCAACTTTATTTTCTGTAAGCCAAATTACTAAATTAAGCATTTTTTAAAACTTACTTGCTTTTTTTCTTGAAAACCAATAAAGGCATACGAATCAATTGTAACATTTTCTGCTAAAATGGTATCTCAGCATTTCAAGAATCAAACTTATTTTTTAAGTAGTACGGAAAAACTTTTATTAATACTTGCCAAATGTACAATTAAATTTCGAGCCGAGAGCAGCAGCGCAGAAAATTCTAAGAAGAATCTCTTAAGAAATCGCTATGGCAGCCTCTGTTTATATGGGAATAAATTTTTGGAAGCTTTGAGCGGATTTCTGAAATTCTCGAAGGGTCGAGAATGAGATAGCCGCTACTAGAAAGTGCAGGGTAAGAAAATCCCTTGGACATTTAGGAGAAACCATTAAAATGTGAGAAAGGGTGACACCCCACTTAGCCTTGTCTGTTATTTTCTAGTTGCAGTAGTTTTAGAGCTAGCAGATCAAACATTGTCTACTGGAGAACACCCAAAATTAAATGGTGAACTTCCATTTAGAATGTAATTTAATTTTCCTACTTTAATTCCACATTTTCTTTAATTTCATTTCATTTTTATTTTGTTGAGCGGCCGCGAAGCCTCTAGAAAACTGATGCGCTGCTACTAAGAGCTCCGCGGAGCATAGATTGAACACTACTGTTCTGAAGCCTCTGCATAAATAATTTTAATTTTTTCAAAAAATACCTTGAGCCTTAGTGCTGTTTTTTCGTATGTAGCTCCCCGGTAATTCCCTAAGCGGGAATGAATCGCGCCCGCATGCATTTCCTGTGACATACTTTACTTTGACAGAAGACGCTGTCACATAATGTATTAAACTTTTTCTTAATCGTAAAAAATTACTTTCGTTTGATTTTCTTTTCTAAAATTCTCTTAATGTGGGTAAGATTTGTATGAATCGTTTGAATGTAAGTCATCAGGAAAGGGCTAAAACAGGAAATGTTTCCCGGTGCGTTACCGGAATCTCAAAAGTTTTACCCCGAAGTTTCGCAGTTTCCTCGATATGCTTCATAAATCTGAGTTTTTCCTCAATCCTTTCTGTCTGTTCCTCCTTGGAAGATGCTACTTTTACATTTCACAGCTATCGATCAGCTCGACTATGAAAACTTCTATTTGAATCTGATTACTTATTCTTAAATTTACCCTTCAAGTTATTAAAATTTCATAATTATGTATTCAGATTGACAAAATTCTACTTTTATTTAGGTAAGAAAAACTTATAAAATGAAGTTAATAGCAATTACGTTTATTATAACACCACACAAGAAGTGAAATTGTTATTTAAAACTTGTACGCTGCTTTTGCATTAAGTTAAATATTGTTTTCAGAAAATTAGCTATACAAGTTCTTTGAACGTTTCCTTTTTCAAACCATTCTTTAAATAAGGGCTCGATAATTTTGAAAAGTTTAAAGTGCTGAATGTTTTCTGAAGTCTTAATTCTTATTCTACATATCAAACGACTTTTTAAATATTAATATACATCGTATAACAATGTCGAGATGTAGGTTTATTAGTATTTATAATAAGTTAGTTTACTTCAATACTAATTTTGTCTTATTGACAATATAAACTGCCATTCGAAATTAGAATACATTCATATGTATTATAGCATTAATAGACTAATATTCCGATTATAGTTTCACGACTGATGGTAATTTTTTGTTACTTTATAAGGTATTTCTCCCACTTCCCTAGTGTACCTTCGTAATGTAACGGTAGCACGCTGGGCCGGTATTCCGGAGGTCCGTGGTTCGATTCCCGGCGAAGGCAGTTGCATATTCATCTTTTCTGCTTCCAATTAACCTAATGACTCTACAACTTTAATTCAAACTGTAAGCTTCGCTGAGCGAAATCTTTCTTTGAAGCATGAAGCATGAAATTTTATGCTGATGTTTCAGTATTTTAAGATTTTAAAAATGCAATGGCTATTCCGAACTATAGTTAAATGAATAGCGCATAGTAATAAGTGAGTTGAAGTTCTTCCAAATGTCAAGGCACTTATGCTGAGTTCTGACAATTTGAGATCTCTTAATCAGTTATTAATATTTAGAATGAATGAAATCCTAATTTTGATGCTATGTTGTTTAGCATAACATTTTCTATGGAAACATTTAAATCTAACCAAGCATTGTACCGTTTCTTTTTAGAGGGAGAATTCGAGAGTATCCGATGTTGAAGCAGCGGCTGCAAAGGCTTGGAATACAGAATTGCCAGAGAAAATCGACAGTCCGCTAGATAAAGGTTGGGTACTATTTCATTCCATTACATAAATATATTTTCCATAATCGCAGGTATTGTAGAAAAAACAAATTACATTTTAAAGCATCTAATTTTTTAACTGTTATGTTGTATCCAGACATTTGATAGGTATCAAGGTAATTACTACGATCCTAAATGTTGGTTGCTTCAAAACCTAATTATAGCGACGGTTTTAGCATTTTTCATGTAGATACTTGGTCTTTATTGACCCAAATTCATGCATGAAGAAAATCTAAATTATGTGGGAGTATTCAACGCGAAATTGCGTGCTCAAGTTAAGGGTACGACTGCAAAAGGAAGATATCCAAGTTTTAGCCATTATGCATATTTATTGGAAGTTACGGGACTGGAGGAAAGGATGCTATTGCGGGGGAACTTATTGTCCGAGGAATAACATAAATAGAAAAGTGCAGCCAACCTTTACGCCGGGATTTGAGTATCTGTTTTGGTAGTCTCTGCTACTGGCAGGTCAGACTAATTATAAAGTTAGGAATCAATAGTAATTTTGCGTGCGACTTGTTATTAGATGAACATATGATTCAGTGTTTCTAAGGACTTGTCTCCTAATAGCTTCCAGTTCATTTGTAAATATAGAGTGGCGCAAAAGGAACTTGTTTTTGTAGCTTTTGCATAGAGCTTAACTAGATTTTTTAAGGCCAAGATTCCTTCATAAAGATTTTTTGGGGTTTAGAAATCCTTTGTTTTAATAAGACTTAATATCTATGTATAGGCAACTAGTGGTTGAGCGATGAAGTAGTTTTAATACTGGTAGTTCGACCTGAATTCAATTGCAGGCGAACGGGCTGGTTGCATATGCGGTTTTTGTGGTTTCCTCATTTTTAACGTAGATAAAAGCCAGTTTACCCTAGAAAGCCCTCCAAAAGTCATTCTTCTCTTTTAGTCAGTCTCCCGTGATTTGTATAATCAAATAAACCAAACCCTTAACACGTAAGTAGCGAGTCGCTACAAATCTTCAAAATTTGAAGCCATAAATCGTTGCATCAGTAAACGTCCTTCACTCGCAATCGTATCTGACAAGTGCCTACAGTTTCTTGCGTCAAAATGTTGTTTGGAAATCGGTCTCCTATTCTCACTTCCTTCCGAATGTATTTTTTTAAGTACGCTCATAGTAGTTGCGGTTTTAATATACTTCTATACCTTATAATAATACCTTCCAAATATTTTTAACAATTTGCTTTTTCTTTTGGCTCAGTAGTAGTTTAGAGGAAGATAGCTGTAACAGTAATTAATTCCGAGTTGGCTGAATAGGATTTTAGCGGTTTTCCACCAAAATGTGTAATACGAATAAGAAAGTTTCCGTTGTATTTCTGTGCGCTGGTTAGATAGTCGTATGTTTTTCCATAATTAACTAATCCCTTTTGGTTTTCTTTTACAAACTAATTCCAGTGTTTATGTAGTTCAAGTTAAGTAATGTTGAAAGATGCTTTATAATTAGAATGCAGGATTCGGTTCAGGATATTTTAACCCGCAATGGCGATAGCAATGGAAATAATGTCTATGAAAATGAAAACTTAAGTTTTGCCGGTAGTAAAAAGGTGGAAAATTGTTTTAATTGGAGGAAAAAATTAAGACTTGTAACATGTCTTCTGTCATTGTGTTTATAATGTCTTCTAAAAAGGCTGTAAAAATACTGGAAATGTGAATCCATTTTTGTTATAGCCAGCATTCCTTATGTCCTTTACTGTAGGATACCGGCAGCTTTAATAAGTTGGTTGTATTTGATAACTATTGCTTATTGGTAAAACTTAATTATGAAGTGCCATGATATGTATATGGATAATTAAAACACTACTTCCATCGTCAGCAACCATGTTTAATTAGATTTTTCCTGGTAAAAGTTTAATTTTAACCTAGAATTAGCTTGTTGAATCATCAAACAGTTTTTATTTTGCCATGCAAGATATCCTAGGCAATTCTTCCTAGTTTCCAAGTAAATAAATTGAATATCATTCAACTGATCGTAAATTCTGATGAGTGAAGACCTTGCATTTCTCAAGCTAATCTCAAATTGACTTAGTTTCTTTCTATATATATAGCTAAATATTTCTATATGTAGCTTAAATTTAGGTCAATTCTCAGTGTATTTTAAGTAAATATTCCTAACGTAAATGAAGTTGGTATAAATTTTATTTATCTTGTTTTCTTTTAGTTTCTTCCCCCTTCAGCTTGAGTAACTTCTGGGAGAACATTCCTCAGCAGCCCACTGTTAATTATGGTTCTTTGAAACATTTGGATCAACTTCTAAGTCTGCTAGACCTTGAAAAATATTCTGACGTGTTCTTGCATCATGAGGTAAATTTAAGTTCCATTTCAGTTTATATAGTTGGAGGTACTTAAGACATCCCTATTAGCACTTGAGGTACGAAAATGTTCCAACCTTTGAGGTCGTTTTAAGTTTGTACGTTGAGTATCATGATGCTCGGAATTAATTTTCGTTGAATAAACAGTAATACACAATACACAAGATTATGAAGCTTGTCAACTTAATATAAGATCAGTACATTTCCTTGCTGTAGTGGCTGAGAGCAGCTATACTACTGGAAGGGTAAAAAAGCTTTGGTATTGAATGTAACTTAAGGCCTCAAAGGGTTAAACTGCATATTTCGTATGAACTTAAAATTTATGTAAATTCGAATTTCTTTTTTAATTTTGCTAGTGGGCTCAAGAAATTATACTAAATGTAGCCTATAGAACATCTTCAAACATAGTTTAAAAGTTCTGTATTTAAAGATGAAACTTTTAAGCCATTATTAGACTTTCTATTAATTTCAACTTTAATTAAATCTGAAAGCAAAGCTGAGTTTAGTATTTCTCCAAACAAAAATAAATTCGCAGTGAAATTTAATATTAATGGGCAGCAGCTTAAAACGATTAAATATTATTTCACTTGTGATTGACTTAACATGGTAGATTCCAAAACTCTTGTGTGCAAATTAAAGCAAATATTTGACAAGGAAATCAAAATTAATGATTTTGAAACAAGATTTATCCATTTTTATACCCTTTCCGAGGAGCAACATTTTCACAACATGAATTTCTAAATTTTTTGTGGGTAATTTGTTGAAGATATTGGTGAGGTTTCCTGTTTGTTACTGTTAAATATTCTTTTTCACAAAAATTAATTTAACCTTTAAATTTTCATTTGGATGTTCTTCCTTTCGGCTTATTAAGTACTAAATATCGTTCAAAATATTGCTTCGGACATTAAAATGTTGAATAGTTTTAAAAATGTTAAATTTTTTCTTTAGAAATTACATATCTAAGAATAAATTAGTGGTATCTAAAATTTTCCGGAAAATTCCAAAATATGCTATTATCTGACACAAGTGTATTGTTTGAGAACTGAAACACTTTGCTGCTAATGTGAAAATACATAACGCAGATCTATTACTAAGAATGCATTTTAAATTCAGCTTTGACATTTTGCTTATAACTTTCGGCTACTCGAATATAGCTGTCTAATAAACCAGTTTTCCTTAGATTGATTTATCCACATTCATCACTCTAACTGAAAGTGATCTTCAGCAACTGAGTATCAGTTATGGAGCTAGAAGGAAGATGCTCGCAGCCATAGCAGGTACATTATAATCTAGTCGTACAACTCAAATCCTTAATTTTCGAATCTTGTTCTAATGCTTCCAATTTCTCTTTTGTCAGCAATTCGAGAACAACAATTTGGAGACAGATCATTGAAACATTTTCGAGCTGCTCCAGGTGCCGAGCGCCGAACTTACTTCTCGAGATTCTCAAACGGGTCGGCGATCCCAGAAGAGAATACCGAAAGGCTGTAAATGTTCAAATGTTCGAATTTTTGTTAAAACGTTGAATGCATAATGTGAGTCTTCTATCCCCTTCTTTCTCAGTATCTAAGCCTGTTCCTTGAACAGTTGAGAAATTTCTGCAGGAAAATAATTTTCCTCTTAAAAATAACTTTTCGCAATGAAAGCGACCTAACAAAACATATTAACGGCATATTTATACCGCTTATTTGATATATTTAGTTATTATCCGCAAGGAATTGTGAAGTTCTGTTTCAGATGTATATTGAATCTACTTATAATGAAAGTAGAATTAGTCTAATTTTGTCTCTTGCTATGAATAATTCAAATACCCTGAAAATGATCTAAATATGCATGCCTTCTTTGATCTGCAAAATCCATAATTGTGAATGTATTTTATTGACTTATTTAAGCTAGACACTGCTGTTTCCTGCATACATGTTTTAAATTATTTATTCCCTTTAGTGCATAACATGTTTTATCTTTTAGTACTAATACCACCAATTTCCTATAGTTTTAAAATGCTAGAGTTTATGTTCTAATCTGTGTTTAAGTAAAAAAATTAAATAGTGATAATAGTTTTCAAGTAGTTAAATTTCGAATGTTTACCATGTATGTTTTTCATTATCGATTAAAGTGTTTCAGCATTTAATTTTTTAATTAAAAAAGAACGCTATGTTCAAATTTTTCGTTTATAACTTCTGTGAGACATCTTGTTTCTGTGTTTTATAAATTATCTAACTTTTAAAGTTTTCAGCTCTGTTTTATTAACCGTTTCAAAAAGATTTTTAAACAGAGCTGGTATTTCAAAAAATGTTCGTTTGAAATGTTTATGCTTTACTGAACTGCTGACTTGTTTCAAAAGTCGCATATTAAATTTTTCGGATATTTTGAAACTTGGTTATGCATTTGTTTTCAGAGCCAGAATGGCAAAGAACGTTTTACCACAATATATGTATGGTTTAACTTCCCTCAAACTGCAGAAATATTTTTTGTACGAATATTTTAAAAATCTCCATGAAAATTTTATCTGAAAAATTTCAATAAAGTTCTCAGACCTATGTTTCGATATTTTATTCAGTTTTATACACCTTGTAAATTTCACACTTGATGAACATGGATCATATTTGGTTAGACAGTTTATCTTAAAATTGAGTTTCGTATTGTTACAAATTTTTAGCTTTGTTCTTCCTTGAAACGCGTGATGAAGCTTTGATCTGCAAACTGTTTTATAGTGATAAAATTTCACACTGGATAATCATGAATTTTCCACTCCATAAAATTTTTAAATGTGGACTACTAAATTTATTTTCAATTAAACTCAGTTCATGATATTTAGTCTTGGTCCAATCAAAATAGAATCTGATAACATTTAAGTTACTGAACTAAAATGTAGATTCGGAATGATAAAGAGGAAAAAAAAATTCGGGAGAGGGTATTATAATAATTAAAATTTATTTTAATATCTTAATTTATATTTAAGAAAAGGAAATGCTCCAGAAGATTGAAATTAGAACTTTTTGCTTTGAAATTAAAGAAATCTGTTTCTATTACAGGTGTGGTTGGACACATCAGTCTTACAAAAGAATTCAAGGTACTTGTTGCGACCAAAGAAACAAATGTCGCCAACTTTTGGCGACATATAAAGCCCTTTCATATGTAATTTTAACAAAAGTAAAATATTTTCCAAAGCACAGATTAATATTTTAAAGAATTGTTCATGCTCCATTTCACAAATTCAGGTAGACGGTAAAATACTTTTTTAATGCAATATCTTCATTTTTATTTAAGTTGAAATAAAAAAGCAACGATTTTTTTTTGTTATGATCTTCGTTGCTAGAATGCCATCGCCTGTCGCCAGCAAAATCGATAAATAGTATACTTGGTATGCAATTGATATCTATCCTATATCCTCGTACTTGGTATGTAATCTATATCTATCCTAGAAACGATATGCTACTTCAGAAAATTGTGATATTCAAATAGGAATTTTGTAAGTTCCCTTAGTTTCAGAGTACCGATTCCTGAATATAGGTAATTCGTCGCAGGATCTGTGCTTAATGGGTTGCCCTTTTCTAAAAGGAAATTTAGGAAATTTCTCTTGGGGGAACCTAGCCGGAGCTTAATTTCGCTTAACCTCATTCAATCCATGTTCCGTGAAATTGTTCCATGAAGTTCAGAAGTTTCCAAGAAGGCATTCCTCAGACAATTATAGAGCGCTTTGTCTTAATATAACTTCGTCTTAACAATTTCGTTAAGTAAATATTATTTGAAATGAAGCAAATTAAGAAATTTTGTATACTTAGTAAAATTCTAACAATTTCATTTACTATATAGAGTTGTACGGAAACCTTCCATTGTTTTATATTAAGTAAATTAAACTTACCTTGCCTACTTCCAAGAAACAAATTTTTAGACTTAATATTTTCTTTGAATAAAAGAACAGTGATAAATTTATCTTTTCGGGAAAACCGCATGGAAGCTTTTAAATTATTCACTTAGCTCCATTTTAAGCAAAAAATCCTTCAAACGCGTTTGGAATTCAATCTACAGAATTACTTGCGTGTAATGGGTTTTTGATTTGTACAGATATTGTCATTGAGAACTGATTACTTCACTTTATTGATTAGGCAGGCAGCCTTAGTGTGCTTTGCTGTAGAAAAGATTCTTTTGTGAAGGACTTTCGAAGGGTCGTTTTCATGTTGCGCATAAAGAAAACCGCGAAAATGGCCGAACAAGTTTACATTTTTCATTTTTTTAAATGGCAAAAATCAAATATCATAACAAAAAATTAAATTTTCTGCAAATAAATAAATGAAAACAATTAATAAAGTTATTCCTTAATGGCTTAATTTTTTCCTTTATGGTTTATTTACTTAAGAAAACTTTAATGCCTTAATGATTTTCTTGATGCACTTTGCAGTTATATCTGCAATCATATTCCCTTTCTTATTCGCTGGATACGATATACTTTTGAAACATCTTGTTTTTGGCGACATTGTTATGAGTAAAAGATGTCTCCTTCTGTTTCATCAATAACTGATTAGCGCAAAATTGTTTTGTCCATGATGCTGAACGATTTCCTTTAGAAGCTAGGCATTTTGAAGGCATGAAAGAAAGACTACATTCATCAACAGTGAAAATATTTTTAGTTGATATTCACGCATTTAATTCATGAATTTTGCGAATCTTTAAAGTTCGGCTGAGACATCTTTGAATTTTTCATTTCAGATATATAATGGTATAATTTAAAGTTGCACAGTCCTTCAGTATAAAAACAGTCGCCCTTCGCAATGTAATTTCTTCTCCTTTTTGCTGGTATAGGCCCGTTGGCTGAAACAGTATTTGACTCGCTACACAGAGTGAAAACCTCGGCAAAATAAAATTTAAACCTTCCAGGTATTTCGCAAATATATCTCCTTGAATACGAAAGTTCTTTGAGGCAGTTTTTTGCAAACTAACATTCTTCTCACTTTCCTTCTCTGAGAAGCATTTACTTTTCAGTACTGGCATAATGTAGTTTTTAGTTATAATTCTATAAATTTATTATAGCATTTTGTAACTTTTAAGTTTCAGGGAGACTGCTTTTCATTTTCTAGATATTTTAAGCATAAAATAAGCTTAAAGTAAAACCCCGAGAACAATATTTTAATTAAAAACTGCTTCCCGAACAGTTTTGGTGAAATGAATCCAGCGTTTGTGTCCTCTTTTATTAAATCGATTTTCAACAAAACCGTAAGGAGGAAGTGGGCAGCTTCTTTCGGTCAAAAAGACTGGAGCCCACGAGAATTTTCTTCCACTTTGGTCTGAAATCCACTGCAGACAAGCAAACTCATAATGAAGACCTTCTTAGGCACCTGGCTTTGGAAATTATTTGCATTCCTAAAAAAAAGGATTCAGTGCAGGTCTATACTGATGGTACTAGTACACAGAAGGTCGTACTGGTAGCGGTATCTTTATTAGGATCACTCATTTTGAAACTAAAAGCAACGCAACCTTGACGCTTGCTCTGTGTTCAGCGAGTTAATTGCAATTAATGTGAGCCTTGATGCTATCTTGACTTATGATTGTGATTTTGGGGAACTATGGACTTTATCGAACAGCCGGAGGGCATTACAACATCTTGGTGGCTAGTCGTCCGCAAACTATGAAACTAGCATGTCTATTCTGCTGAAACTGAGGAAGATCTCTGACCCACGACGTCCATCCTCCAGTGGATCCCATCACATGTTAATATTAATGGTAATGAGGTCTCTGATAGACTGGAGTAGGGAAGTCAAAATGAAACGGTCACTGGCTCTTCGGTTACTTGCCAAGAACTTTACTCAAATGAAAGATCTAAACTCGGTATAATATGGCGTATTCCACCTACGCACCAGTGGTACACAAGAAAATTCCCTGGCTTCCTGTTGGAAATCAAATGTAATCATGGTACCCAGACTGTTCTGGCTAGACTAACAAGTGGCTACTTTAAATGTATTCCCTTTGATAGTGGCAGAAAATCCACCCCGCTTGTAAAAAATACTGTGACCATCTAGCTTCATTGGATCACATACTGGGTTGCATCGGACTTTCTAAGGGGAGCTTAACGTCCGATCCCCTCACTGTTACTTTTTTGGCGGTCAACAACCTTCTGGAGCTGATCTGACATATGTCGGATCTTTTGAGGATAAGCAGCAACAGCAAGCTGATTTTAGTATCGGGTGCAAAGATCCTAATTTTTACAATTTTTAAGACTGGTAAATAACATTGTAGAGACTACTTTATGATATGGGTACATCGTGCTTAAGGTTTTCGATTTTATGGAAAAAGAAAGCGAAACATTAATATAAATAAGTTTAAATAAATCGAAATTGAGAGAACTCTCTTCAAAACAAAAAAAAAAAAAGTTTAAAAGTCTACTTTGAATCGGTAATGCTTTCGAATGTTATGTTTCGATATTCACTCTTGATTTACTTTCAGATTTCAAGTTTCAATAATCATTCCTTCAAAAATTTTCGACTAACTGAATTTCAAGTATTCGAAGTTTTGATTCAAGTTCATAGTATGGCAATCGGAGTGTATTAAAAGAACAGAAATGTTGTAGAGTTTTCATTGATGCAACTACCTATCTTAATACAAATACCACAGGTAATTAAAGAGAAATCTATTTCTGGCACTGCTCTAAGAATAGAATGCCACATTTCTTTTATCTCTTCCACGTCAGGAAAAACTTCCTTTGAAAGGACACTTGAGTTTGGGGAAGCGAAAAATAATCGCAAGGAGACAAATCTATATAGAATACGCTGGATGACTAAGTACACATTTTCAGGGCGGAGGACAGAGCGAGAGCGTTTCTATAAAATGCTTACTGACAAGTGGGAAGATTAATTGCCTGCAATACAAGTTTCCGAAAGGAAGATTAAAAATCGTCTGCTTAATTCTCAACTACATAAGTTAGATGCTGAACAAAACATTTAAAACTACAGTGTCGTTTTGGCACAACTTATAAGATAAACCTAATGTCATTTAATTTAAAAACCTCTTTAAGCTTCCCGTAGTGAATAACGCAAGGCGATAATCAACTCATCTTTAGCTCAGATTCCTAGAACAAATGAGTACAACAGTATATCTAATTGAACGCTAATCTGCACTACGGCTTGGTAGTTTAAAAACTACAGGATTAATAAAACTGTTATTTGTGCCTGAAAATATAATAGTTCGATTATTTGCAAATCTAATAGTAAACTGGAATCTGTAGGGTTGCTCTTATAATTGGAAGCTAAAGTTAAAATCCTGCAGAGCCTACTAGACAGGTAACGAGTTATCGCTACATCAAATAACTCAAAATGCAGAAGGAAGTTTAAGTAACCTTTTTATTTCAGTCTCAATTTAAACATAAGGCACAACTTGTGTTACAGACGAAATTTTCTTCACTTTTGGATGTTTTTAAACTAACAGAAAAGACAAGTGAATTCGAACGTCCGAAACGTAGTTTTAGACTACACATTAAATATAATAAGCTGGTTCGTATAATTTCACCGGTACGTATTTAAAGAATCGGCTAACAAGAATGCTAAAACCGTA